CAAACTGATGTTCTAGAAAAGATTGAACCAAAAGAGGATATAAGTCAAAGATTTTGGAGAGAAGTTCGGTTGTAAGTTCAGATCAGCACCATGTGAACAAAAGCTAGACCATGATTGTCACAATAATCCTATGAATACAAAGAAATATTACAGACAATAAGAGGCGGCTCTCTAATTAGGCGGCCACCTAAGGCCTCGCGGCCATCTAAACCACCTTAAGGCAGACTGTGTCTGGTGCTCGGTCAGTGACCGAGGACCCGACACCAGGAGGGGGCCCGGCGGCTTGCTCAGTATGTCGCCGGGTGCGAGGCCCCTCCTGTCTGCCCTGCCAGCAATCACAGACACTGGTTTGCAGCTCCGCAGTGTGCAGCGCTGCAGACCATGTGTTTCGCGAGAACTGGCCAATCAGAGCGTTGCTGTGGGTTACCACGGCAACGCTCTTACGGGGTCTCGCGAGATACATGGTCTGTAGAGCTGCAGACCAGATATAATGTCCACCGGACCACCAGGCAGCCCACACTGGACCACCAGGACTCCTCTCCCCTTTTCCCCCCTCTACCTCTCACATCACCCCCCCACACCGTCACCTCCCTCCCTCTCACCATCAGCCCCCTCCCACTCTCACCATCACCCCCCTCCTTCCTCCGCCCTCCGCCCACACACAGGATCACCCCCCCCACACACACACACACAGTATCACTCCCCTCACACACATTCTCCCCAGACACAGTGCTAGCATCCCCTCACACTGTCACCTCCCCACACATTGTCACCTCTCCCTACACTGTCATCACCCCCCCCACACTGTCATCCTCTTCATGCATCCACACTCACATTAACCACTCCTAATCCTGTTAATCTCACCCCCTCCAAACTCACCTGCCCTCACTCTGCCACACTCACCCTGTCACATTATCCCCCCTTAATCGTGGCACACTCGTCCCTCCTACAATTTCACAATTGCCCTGACAAACTTACCTCCACTTGCTCTGTCACTCTCCCTCATCAAACCATGTCATACTCCCTGTCCCTCATTCTCTCTCACAAACCTCCCCCCTCCCCACCCTGTCCAATTTACCCCCTTCACCCTGTCCAATTTACCCCCTTCATCCTGTCACACTCTCCCTGCCACAGGTACCACTTTACTTACCTTGTCACAGTCACCAGCTGTATCCAACCCTCTGCATGCATGCGCACACAATATCCCACCCTCAGCATGTGTGCGCACAATATCCTCGTCATGCGCACACAATATCCTATCCTCAGCATGCGCTCCCAGGGGTAGGCAACATTTTAGCAGCACTATGTCGAAATAAGATTGTGACGTCCTGTAGCGTGCCGGCCCTATTTGGTTAAATTGAGGTGTGTATGTTGCCGTACTCTGCTTGTGTTATTTATACTGCAGTTGCTTTGCATTGTTGTATTTGTGCGTATATGAGCTATTATATATGTTCATGAGTAGTTTGTGGTATCGTGTAGGATACCTACGATTGTGGGTTGTGTATTGGGGCTGCTTGTGGAATTGTTTTTGAATGGATGTCACATTGTGTTTGGTAGTGTGTGTGTATGTGTGGGGGTTGTTTGAGGTATTGCATGTGAGAGGCTGCATGTGGGGTTGTGTGCATGTTTGTGGATTGTTAGTGGTGTTGCGTTTGTACAGATTGTGTGTATGTTTGTGTGTGGGCTTTTCGTATTTTTTGTATGAGGGGTTGGTTCTGCATTTCTGTATATATCTAGCAGTGTGGGTGGCTTCCCTGGGTTCCAGTGGGGACTTGGCTCACCAGGAACGGGTCAGCAGATATGTGAAGTTTCACTGGGACTCCTGATAGGCCAGAGCCTGTTTGTCTCTGGCATCCTAGAGTGCGGTGCAAAGACACCTCGAATGCCGTGTATGGCACACGTGCCATAGGTTGCCTACCCCTGTCCTATCCTCAGCATGCGCACACAATATCCTATCCTCAGCATGAGCACACAATATCCTATCCTCAGCATGCGCACACAATATCCCACCCTCAGCATGCGTGCGCACAAAATATCCTATCCTCAGCATGAGCACACAATATCCTATCCTCAGCATGCGCACACAATATCCCATCCTCGGCATGCGCACACAATATCCCACCCTCAGCATGCGTGCGCACACAATGTCCTACCCTCAGCATGAGCACACAATATCCTATCCTCAGCATGAGCACACAATATCCTATCCTCAGCATGCGCACACAATATCCTATCCTCAGCATGCGCACACAATATCCCACCCTCAGCATGCGTGCGCACACAATATCCTATCCTCAGCATGCGCACACAATATCCTATCCTCAGCATGAGCACACAATATCCTATCCCCAGCATGCGCACACAATATCCCACCCTCAGCATGTGTGCGCATACAATATCCTATTCTCAGCGTGCGCACACAATATCCCACCTTCAGCATGCGTGCGCACACAATATCCTATCCTCAGCATGCGCACACAATATCCTATCCTCAGCATGAGCACACAATATCCTATCCCCAGCATGCGCACACAATATCCCACCCTCAGCATGTGTGCGCATACAATATCCTATTCTCAGCGTGCGCACACAATATCCCACCTTCAGCATGCGTGCGCACACAATATCCTATCCTCGGCGTGCGCGCACAATATCCTATCCTCAGCGCCAGGCACTGTATCCTATCCTCAGCATGCTTTTAATATCCTATCCCCAGCATGCAGCACACAATATCCCTACCCTCAGCGTAATGATAGCATACAATATCTATCTCAGCGTGCACACACAATATCCACCTTCAGCATTAAATAGCACACAATATCGGCGTCGCACACAATATCCCCATGCCCAGCGCACACAATATCCCACCCCACTCTCTGTGATGGCATGCGTATCGATGCGCACACAATATCCACCTACAATAGCGTCTTTTATTATCTGTCATAAGCTAACTGTATCTGTCTCAACGGTATCCTGTCTGGCATAACATGCCTCAGCATGTGATAGCATGCAATATCCTATCCTCAGCGTGCACACACAATATCCCACCTTCAGCATGCATGCGCACACAATATCCTATCCTCAGCGTGCGCACACAATATCCTATCCTCAGCATGAGCACACAATATCCTATCCTCAGCATGCGCACACAATATCCTATCCCCAGCATGCGCACACAATATCCCACCCTCAGCATGTGTGCGCATACAATATCCTATCCTCAGCGTGCGCACACAATATCCCACCTTCAGCATGCATGCGCACACAATATCCTATCCTCAGCGTGCGCACACAATATCCTATCCTCAGCATGAGCACACAATATCCTATCCTCAGCATGCGCACACAATATCCTATCCCCAGCATGCGCACACAATATCCCACCCTCAGCATGCGCACACAATATCCTATCCTCAGCATGAGCACACAATATCCTATCCTCAGCATGAGCACACAATATCCTATCCCCAGCATGCGCACACAATATCCCACCCTCAGCATGCGTGCGCATACAATATCCTATCCTCAGCGTGCACACACAATATCCTATCCTCAGCGTGCGCACACAATATCCTATCCTCAGCGTGCGCACACAATATCCTATCCTCATAATGTGCACACAATATCCCACCCTCAGCATGTGTGCGCACACAATATCCTATCCTCAGCATGAGCACACAATATCCTATCCTCAGCATGCGCACACAATATCCTATCCTCAGCATGAGCACACAATATCCTATCCCCAGCATACGCGCACAATATCCCACCCTCAGCATGCGCACACAATATCCTATCCTCAGCATGAGCACACAATATCCTATCCCCAGCATGCGCACACAATATCCCACCCTCAGCATGTGTGCGCATACAATATCCTATCCTCAGCGTGCGCACACAATATCCTATCCTCAGCGTGCACACACAATATCCCACCCATAGCATGCTTGCGCACACAATGTCCTATCCTCAGCGTGCGCACACAATATCCCACCCTTAGCATGCGTGCGCACACAATATCCTATCCTCAGCGTGTGCACACAATATCCTATCCTCAGCGTGCGCATACAATATCCTATCCTCAGCGTGCGCACACAATATCCTATCCTCAGCGTGCGCACACAATATCCCACCCATAGCATGCTTACGCACACAATGTCCTATCCTCAGCGTGCGCACACAATATCCTATCCTCAGCGTGAGCACACAATATCCCACCCTCAGCATGTGCACACAATATCCTATCCTCAGCGTGCGCACACAATATCCCACCCTCAGCATGCGCACACAATATCCTATCCTCAGCGTGCGCACACAATATCCTATCCTCAGCGTGCGCACACAATATCCCACCCTCAGCGTGCGCACACAATATCCTATCCTCAGCGTGCGCACACAATATCCTATCCTCAGCGTGCGCACACAATATCCTATCCTCAGCGTGCGCACATAATATCCCATCCTCAGCGTGCGCACACAATATCCTATCCTCAGCGTGCGCACACAATATCCCATCCTCAGCGTGCGCACACAATATCCCACCCTCAGCGTGCGCACACAATATCCTATCCTCAGCGTGCGCACACAATATCCCACCCTTAGCGTGCAGACTGCGCTATATTTTGATTCAATATATTATAATTTTTTTCTAACTATATGGCACTACAGGGAGTTTAGTTTATAAATGTTTAAAGGCTTAGTGCTAATAACCTCTTCACAGCCCCAAACATGCTGCCCCTGGATTCCCTAGGAGTTATTTCCTATTTCTGAATTATTTATTAAGCTGCTTCTCACACAGCCCACAATGATATAACATTCACAGTTTAAATGATGCTGAGACTCCCATTGCCCATGTTTGGGTGGGAGGGAGGGAGGGAGGGAGGGACACAGACTGGCTGGGTTTCCCGCCCTATTACAATGTGACCACGCCCCCCAGCATTCATCGTCACCGAACGCACATTCCTGTTCACCAATCAGAGCGCAGGGCCAAAGCGAGGCTTGGAACTCAGCCAGCGTGCAGGAAGTGGGCGGGATTAGCGGTCCCGGGCGGTAGTTCGGTTGTGTTGTTGCTGTGGGAGGCCCGGGGTGCTGGTTACCGGGCCGGGGGCTGGCGGAGTGTTTCCTGGTCGGTGTCTGTCGGTCGGAGATCGCCTTAGAGGGCAGCGCTTGCACTTACCGGCCCTGAGGTGAGTGCTACCCGGTGGGGGAGGGGACTGTGGGCGCCAGTGTACCCAGCGCTTACACCGGCCTCCAGCCCGGGCTCACACACTCACACACACACAGGGGGGGAGCACACACTCACACACACACAGGGGGGGAGCACACACACTCACAGGGGGAGCTAGAGCGAGGATTGATCGAAATGGAGGCCAAATAGTAACCCCCAGCCTCTCACAATAAACTACAATCCAGAGAGCGCCTTCAGGCTGGCAAAGCATCATAGAAACATAGAATGTGACGGCAGATAAGAACCATTCGGCCCATCTAGTCTGCCAATTTTCTAAATACTTTCATTAGTCCCTAGTCTTATCTTATAGTTAGGATAGCCTTATGCCTATCCCACGCATGCTTAAACTCCTTTACTGTGTTAACCTCTACCACTTCAGCTGGAAGGCTATTCCATGCATCCACTACCCTCTCAGTAAAGTAATACTTCCTGATATTATTTTTAAACCTTTGTCCCTCATGGGAGTAGTAGTTCAAGCATGGTTGGCAAAGCCTTGTGGGAGTTGTAGTTTAAGCAGGGTTGGCAAAGCCTTGTGGGAGCTGTAGTTTAAGCAGGGTTGGCAAAGCCTTGTGGGAGTTGAAGCAGGGTTGGCAAAGCCTTGTGGGAGTTGTAGTTGAAGCAGGGTTGGCAAAGCCTTGTGGGAGTTGTAGTTGAAGCAGGGTTGGCAAAGCCTTGTGGGAGTAGTAGTTCAAGCAGGGTTGGCAAAGCCTTGTGGGAGTAGTAGTTCAAGCAGGGTTGGCAAAGCCTTGTGGGAGTAGTAGTTCAAGCAGGGTTGGCAAAGCCTTGTGGGAGTAGTAGTTCAAGCAGGGTTGGCAAAGCCTTGTGGGAGTAGTAGTTTAAGCAGGGTTGGCAAAGCCTTGTGGGAGCTGTAGTTTAAGCAGGGTTGGCAAAGCCTTGTGGGAGCTGTAGTTTAAGCAGGGTTGGCAAAGCCTTGTGGGAGCTGTAGTTTAAGCAGGGTTGGCAAAGCCTTGTGGGAGTAGTAGTTTAAGCAGGGTTGGCAAAGCCTTGTGGGAGTAGTAGTTTAAGCAGGGTTGGCAAAGCCTTGTGGGAGCTGTAGTTTAAGCAGGGTTGGCAAAGCCTTGTGGGAGTAGTAGTTTAAGCAGGGTTGGCAAAGCCTTGTGGGAGTAGTAGTTTAAGCAGGGTTGGCAAAGCCTTGTGGGAGCTGTAGTTTAAGCAGGGTTGGCAAAGCCTTGTGGGAGTAGTAGTTTAAGCAGGGTTGGCAAAGCCTTGTGGGAGTAGTAGTTTAAGCAGGGGTGGCAAAGCCTTGTGGGAGTTGTCGTCCAATATCAGTTGTTCACCTCTGGTCTGCCAGGTATCTGCATTGGAAGTAATTATCCCCTGAAAGGTTTATTGATCGAACAGAGGTTCATTAATCACATTTATTTATGTTCTCATCATAGAGTTATTCCCTTTTATATGGGTTTATGTATTTTAACATGGCATTGCAAGCTGTGTGAATCATGCCATCCAGGGACTTGTAGAATGTGTATGTTGCCAGCGACAGTCTGTGAGTGATGTCCAGAATCATATTAGAATGGCTGTTCACCGATTTAAAAAAAAAAATAATAATTTTAAAGGACACAGAGGCGCCTATTATGCTGCACTCTTTCTTTATTTACCTCCACATCAAAGTAAAAATCACGATTTACGTCTTAATTGTTAATAGTAAAATCTGGAAATTTCCCGGAACAGTTGCTAAGTGTACATTGAGTTTTATGGCACCGCTGTACATACTGTCAACATGTAGCGCTCTTGGTTGTTCATGAAAGTGGCAACCTATTTGCTTAATTGATGTTTTTTGGCTGTGTGTGTGTGTGTGTGTGTGTGTGTGTATATGTATGTGTATATATGTGTGTGTATATATATATATATATATATATATATATATATATATATATATATATATATATTCTCGTAGTAGACGGTTTCTGCCCTCCTAATTCTCTTTTGCCTAATCACTGTGATCTGTCTATAGGGCAATCTGTTATGCATTCTATATTCTGCAACTGTTATAAGAGTAAACATCTTACGGACTGGAGTTCTTAACTAAAGATTGAATTTTGGAAAATTTAATCTGACTAGCAAAGTTGAGGATAGAATTATCTGCTTTAGTCACAGCTTGGCTGTTTTCAGCCTCAGTTTTTCCTTTTGGATTTTATTTGCTAAACTTGGTGTTTAGTGCATAACCCATTAAGAGTTTCTTGGGGCTTTACTTAACAGACCTTTTCATTTCAGGCAGATCATAACACTTTAACATTGAAACTAAATATATTGTTTTCATTAAATGGTGTTCCACTTTAAGGAGAGTGTTCCTCTAGCGCAGGGGTAGGTAATCTTCAGGACTCCATATGTGGTGTACTAAATGCTCTTACAGCCATAATGCTGGCAAAGCATCAGGGTAGATGTAGTCCACAACATCCAGCCCGTGCTCTAGTTGTTGCCTGAAAAACAGCCATTATAGAGATTCTCAACCATATGTAAACATTTTTTTCCCCCCTTCTAAATGGCAATGTTTGAAATTACCCCAGAAAAGGGACAACATTTATGTACCAACACTACTACATTTCGATGTTGCAGTTTTGATGCTTGATGTCCCTTTAAAACTGATCATCGCCATATTGCCTTTCCATAGCCTGATTCACAGTTTTGTAAACAAGGCTGTGTACAGATATATCCAGAGCCTCTTGCCATGCGCAGCTATGGCTCTGTGTAAATCTTGTGCATTTGCCCAGTGTGCATTTTACATGCACAATTTAGATGGTGGTTTTGGGAGGAAGTAAATTTTCCTCCTCTGCTGTGACCAAGTTGCAAGGCATATAGATGCAGTGACTTTTTTTTTACAAACCAACCAAGGATCTCTTCATACCACAATTAATGCAATAGAAAATCATACAGTTTTAAAATAAGGTGTATAGACAGAGGTCAGTGCTCAATATTAATTCATAATTTTACCCCACTCCCTCTAGCATGTAAGCTCATTGAGCAGGGCCCTCAACCCCTCTGTTCCTGTGTGTCCAGCTTGTCTGGTTACAACTACATGTCTGTTCGTCCACCCATTGTAAAGCGCTGCGGAATTTGATGGCGCTATATAAATATCATAGTAATAATCTTGACTTCTCTGCTGCATTCGGCACCTAGGGCAATAGAATTTTATTACACCATCTGCATTACATCTGTGGACTGAGTGGTACAGTTCTAAGCTAATTCAAATCATTTCTATATAACAACCCAGAGAGTATTATCTGGAGTACACACCTTTAAACAGGTTCCCATAGCACATGGAGTCCCACAGGGTTCCATCTTATCGCTCATTCTATTTGCAGCGTATGTACTTCCAATGGAGGATATCATAAGGCAACAGGACCTCAAAAATCACTGCTATACTGATGACACACACACACATACATCTCATTCTAACCAAACTCAAAGGTTTCAGCAGAAACAAATAATAACCGCCTTGCTGATCTCCTGGAATGGCTGAAGCTAAACCCAGACAAAACATAAGTACTTGTGATGGGTGCAGAGAGTTTGATAAGCAATCTGCAAAAATAATAATCATAATCAGTCTAGAATGTGGTGTGGTGCCTGACATTGAACCCTTCTTGAAACCTCATATCCGCTACAGTGCAAACCTCATTCTTCGTTTTAATGAATATAGCCAGGTTCAAGTACCTGATACCTACAGAATATCTTCCCACAAAGGTGACTGGACTACAAAAGACTTAGGAGGGTTAAACCGTTTTCTGATGATATACCAATGCTAGTGTTCCTGGTGTGGAAGGTGGCCAGAGGAAGGAACACCGGAAGCGAGTTGTCGTTCACCTGGGGACCAAGCTGGCATTGGTTCCCTTCTCTCCTCTGCTTTTTCCGTGAGAAATACCCTGCAGCGTATTGGAGGTGTGATGCTGCCCTAAAAGCATAAAAGTCCAATATATATGCTCCTTCAAATGCGAGTGGTTAACTTCACCACCATTTATTTTATCCTATCCTACGTACCATCTGCACTATATTGTATTTTTTATTTTATATGTACCACAAGCCAAGACTAAAACAAGGTTACATGGGGTAAGTTTATCCCATTTTGCACACATTTTTTAGAGCTCCACTTAAAGGTGCAGGTTTTACTTATACCACTCTATAGATCTTCCCACAATTATCCATGTTTTGGTGACATCACTTTAGACTACTGCAATGCACTCTATTATGGTCTTTCAGAAAATTACTCGATTGCTTTCAGCTGGTACAAAATACTTCAACAGACCAGTAGCCGATCAGTCAAAGTTTTGTCATGTGATACCCATCCTGCATAACTTGCACTGGCTACCAGTAAAAAAGTGACAACTGTTCAAGATAGGTCTGCTACATGATCAGGGACCAAGCTTTCTAAAAGAATAATTGGTGCCCTATGTCCCAAACTCGCAGTCTTCGTTACGCGCATGCTGGAAGCTGACTGTGCCAGGAATTCAACAAAACTGTGGCTTATACACGTTTAGCCATGTCACCCCATCTCTATTGAAGACTCTCCTTAGGACAGTTAATAAGTCACCTCCCTGGACATTTTTAAACAAAGACTTAAGACCTACCTGTTACACAAGCCTTTCAGTAATACAACCTGCAACTTCTTAATACTTGAGTGTATATTGTATAAAGTGCATTGAGTCCAATGCAGAGAAAAGCACTATATAAGTTATTTACTATTATTATTACTGTAAAGAGACAATTTAAAAGCTTCAATATTTTATATGGCTGGCTTTTTAAATATTTTTTTATTTTTATTATAATTTTAGTAAAACTATTCGTAGTAATAAATATAGTGAGTGGGAGTGTCTGTTTATTTTATTTCTGTTCTCGATCGGGAGGGTGTCTTAGAGGTTAGTTTTAAGATGATTTTAACATCATAAATAGTATATAGGTGCATCTTTTAGTGTCTAACTATGGGTTGTTTCTTCTTTTTTTTTTTCTTCCTGTTTTGGGTTTAGGTGTCAAATGTGATCTCAGAAGAAACACCTGGATAATGTTCGGTATACCTAGGAACTTTACTCTGTGACAATAGTAAAGGTAACTTAGGTTTTTTTTTTGTTTTTTTTGGTATGCATTTCCCTTTTTTGTTTTGGTTATTAGTCCTGTAGTTAAGTGTTTTAAATATCCCATTTCTTCTTTGCATCAATTATTGGCTAGATGCATCGCCGTAAACGGTACTGGTCCCCTGAAGAAAGCTACAAAAATCAGACGTGGAAAAGGAGGCGGCGAAGCCCAAGCAGAGAGCGTGAGGGGCGAAGGAGATTATACGAGAGATGGAAATCTCCACGCAGGTCACGTTCACGGAGGTAACCCATAGGAAGAAATAGAATAGTGATGTATCGTGATATACATTGTTCCTGATGCTGAGTCTACGTTTCTGCTTTATAACAGTCTGCATTCTATTTGGAATGTTGCTTCATTTTGGTGCAGAGAAAGGGACTAGTTTGATCATATGTACTTTTCTATTTGAAAGTTTGTGGCTGTTTTGAAAGTACGTAGTAACATTTGTTATTTTTGCTTCACGGGAAAGTAAGTCTGTAGAAAAAAAATGTGTACTTGATTCATTCCATTTCTGTAGAGACTTGCATTCTGTGTGAGTAGTGCTCTGAGCCTTTCCACTAAAGATAGACGCTCAATTGCCCTCCAGGCCAAGAGTGAGTAACAAATAGATCTCACTGAAGTTGGGGGCTGGAGTCCCTTGGCACTGTCTTATTCTAAGGGCTAAACGGTTTTCCAATGGTTTAACACTTGGGTTGCTCCCAAGCTGCCTGGCCGCACTGATTTCTCTCTTCTGTGCCTGGCTGCCTTGCTGAGCAGAGAAGTTCAAGGCATTGGGAAAACTGTTCAACACAGCGCCCAAGGACTCCAGCCCTCAAAACAACTTCATGAGGTTGCTTTGCAAGAAGATTAATCTCTTGCAGTACTGCAAGTCTCATGATGTCTGGCTAGTTGTACATCTGAAGAAAACAGGGGTTGACAAACACTGGTAAAGATTAGGGAACAAGATTGCATATTTAGCAGTTAGTCTTACATGACTCATTCTGCTTTAACATCCATAGTGTTCTGTGCAAAGTATTTCTAAAATATATGTACCAGCAGCAGTGGGTCTCAAAGCCATGACTCCTGGCACTTATTATACTGTGACTGACCTTTCTGAGACATATATTCAAGCACTGAAAAGGTTTGTTTACTCAGCCAACACAGAGTACTATTTACCACAGATTTGGGAACAGTAAGATATTGGTGAATGGAAATGCAGTCATGGCATGAGTGCCACAGAGACAAACACTGCCTGAGCTAAGGAAAGCTCTTAGCAGGAGCTTTGGCTCTCAATACTAAAATAGGGAAAGGCAGGGACTATCTCCCTCAACACTAGGTAAGTCATATGGTCAGCAAACTGTCTGACTACACGCATGGTGGGGGCTAAATAACCACTACAGATTATTGGAGTGTTTCTTTCCTGGTGTCTGCAGCCATCTAGATTGGAATTAAACAATGTAGTGGATCACTGGAATTTTACAGCTCTGTAGACATTCTAGAGATCTGTGTCACCCACCAGCACTTACACAACTTAGGCTCGGTGCAGGAAGTACTTCAAATGTTCGAACATGCAGCCCACATGTTCCCAGATATTTTCATACATATAGTTACGCAGGGACACTTAAACAAAACCAAAGTGTTAATCACAGCAAAGTTAATACTGTATTTATCCCCTGGCTTCATTACTGTCATTAACATTGAAATTTGTTTTGTTACCTGGGGGCTCCTGTTTGAAATGTTCAGCCCTGTTATTGGTGTATGTTAAGAGAGCTTCTTGAACACAGATATAAAAGTCTAATATTCAGCAGAGTAATTCTTTTAGTTTACATGGTGACTGACACATGTCTAACATTTGTTTAAAAATTGTGCTTTTCCACCTAACATCCAATTCTTTAAAGTAGCAATTTATCTTTTTGAACATAAGGGGAAAAAAAATATACTGTTGATAATGTATGGTAACGTAATATCTGTAAAGCAGAGAATATTACAAAGACTATAGCTTTTTATGTTTTGATTTGATTGGTAAAGTAAAAACCAGGAGCGTTTTTACTTGTTTAGCAAATTTAATGTAATCAATTTATAAATACAGCCATATTGAAGATAACATCGGATATAGCTTTAAAAAATTTTTATTTGTTTTTCTCCTCTTTACTCACATACTATGTGGAGCTCTGAAGAATCTTGCTGTTTTTCTTTTTTAACGCATTGTTCTGTCAATAGGAAACATTGTCTCACACTTTGTATTTTAGCTACAACAAGGATACATATTGGCCAAAGCCCAATAATGCAAGGTCCAGTGATGTCCGTTTTTCAGAGGGTGCGAGCTCTTCGTCCTACAGCGAAAGCTACTCCTACCACACACAATCACCTCCTCGTCATCGCACAAGAGATCGTGATAAAAAAAGAAATGAGAATCATCGTAAAGCTTCACACAAACATCGCTCCAGGTCTGGTAGCTGCACTTCCTCGGTGAGTATTGAGGACACGGGTGAGTGACCTCCATTCAGCAATGCCTGATGCGTAAAGCCTAATTCTACGACGATAAGTGTATGTATTGCTGTGTAGTTGTATATAACATATTTGTACTTTCTAGATAGTTAAAGAAAGGTTTTTATAAGTTGCTTGTAAAATGTCTGGGTTACACAATTCCGCTAACTAATTACTGCTTCCTAATAACTCTCCAAGCAAAAGCCTGTTTAGTATTTACTGACACTTTGATGCATTACTGGAGTGTCCTTTCTTCTAATTAAAATCTGGGAAATATGTTCCTGGTGTAGAGTAATGAGGGATGTACCTAAATGATGCCATTTTATTTGACTGACCAATGTCAGTCTTTAATGATTTCTCAGGAAAAGTAGAAATCAGAGCCTTTCTATGATATTAAAAACCCAAGGCCATAACTTATTGATTTGAATAGCAAATTTAAAATCCAGTGTCAAAATCACAATATAGAAAACTGGCGAATAAAGTGGAATTGGAATTATTTTCTAGCTCTGCTTGCTGGCCTAAACCCCATTACATCTTCAGATAGTGATTAAATCTCAATGTTTTAATCTGGTAAATAGTAAACTGAATTTAATCTGTAAGTTGTGGTAGCAGAGTTGTTAGCAAATGTATAAACTGGGAGAAAAACCTATTTAAATTTAGGACACTCCCTCCTTTAAATCAGTTTTCTGTGATTTAAAAAAAATATATATAACATAAATGGCTGACTGGAAGAACAGAGGTGGTCCTCCTGCTTTCCAGCACAGAAACCAGCATGCATCATCTGGTTGCTGTTGGAACCATCACTCCAATCAGACAACGACATGCTGGCAATTCATGCAGTATGCCGACATCATAGAAAAGGATTTCCCTGCTTGGGGTAGTGTCCCCAATAAATAATCAGACTGTGCGTGGGACACAGGTGGGTGTTACAGCAGAGTAACATTCAGAGAGCTGCGGAATCTGCAGCGCTGGACTGAAGGTAAGTAATGTTCTTTCTCAAACATTTGCATTGAATATATCATTTGTCTCTAGGATAATTGATAGATTCAATGCCTGTTGAAGGCAATTTCAGGTTAAGTGAAACTATTACTTGCCTCTACTACAGCGGCATTTAACTTTGCTCTGCCCCGGTAGAAATTTTGGGAGGAAGAATGTGTGGCAGTCTCTGTGATTGCAACCTGTGCTTCTCTGAGGAACCTTTTCTCAGTTTTAAAGCAAGCACTCAAAGCGTGTGATGAAGAGCGCCAGGCATTCTGACCGCTAAAAGGTTGTAAACCTTTATAAAAGTGCAGATTTTTTTTAATTTTATTTTTTTTAAATCTGCACTTTAAAAAAAAATAAAAAATTTAAGGCAGTGGGTTTGCCATACTAACCCCTAAATCACTTCCGCATGCATGTTTTTGGCTTTCTGGCACTACTCTTTCTGTGAAAGACACTTTGTTTTGAATTAAAGGGACACTCCATGTACCTAAAAATGGTTTTGTTTTATAGATCATGCACCTGTAGTCTTGCTGCTCAATTCTCTGCCATTTAGGAGGTAAATCTTTCTTTATGCACTCTAGCCACACTTCCCTTATAGATAGGTCTAATGTTTAAACTTCCTTTATTGCACACTGTGTTTAATTTAGAGTTTACCTCCCTCTCTGTTAATAGCCTGCTAACCTCTGTAGGAACCTTATGTATTTGATTAAAGTTCATTTAACAGAGCAGGAGGTAAGGACTACAAAAGTGTAAACACTGTGCTGTAAGATCTGATAGAGTAACACCCAGGGGGGAGGTATGGCTAGGGCTGCACAAACCAGTGACTCAACTCCTTAATGGAAGAGAAGTAAGTAGTGTAACTGCAGGGTCGTGATCTATACACCAAAACTGCTTCATTAAGCTAATATTGTTTTGGTGCCTATAGTGTATTTTTAGTTATAGAAGTCTAGTTTTCATCAACTTTTCCAGTTTTATATTCTAGAAGTCTCTCACTGCAGTGAGTGAATTCAAGCAGTGATGGTCACTAACAAGATTCCTGTCTTTCATGTTAAAAAAATAGGAATAGTGTAAAGGGGAAAGCTAAACTTTATAGTGTACTTTTTAAATTGAATTATTTTACCCACACAAGTTTAAATTCTTATAAAGGAAGCAAAAATTACTCTTTTAATATACTACTCTGAAAATGTCTATCACTTTTTGGGGGAGGGGAAGTTTAAAATGTTATAGTTTTAATAGGACAAAAAGTAGATAACAGGTTTCTATAAAGTTTTTAACCGCTCATTCAGGAGAAAGTGCTTTGTTGCATTCAGTTCGGCCTTCACACTGAGCCGTCTCTAACCTGCACGTCTCCCTTTGCAATATCCCCTATCGTTTTATGTTTTTATACGTCTGCACACATCTCAATCTTCACCGCCTTGGATCTGAATCTCCTTATTGTCCCTGCCTCCCTGATTTGTACCTTCAATGAAAACTATGCCGTGCATCTGTTGGGGGCGGGTTGATGTGCAGAAGAGTCACCGGAGCGCAAAGGATGGCAAGAGTGTGGAAGATGACAAAGAAGGGCACCTGGTGTGCCGGACCGGAGAACGCATCCAGGAGAGATGTACTGACTCCTCTTCCGTAAAACTTTAACCTCTCTAATCTTACATCACTTCTCCCTGACCTCCCCTCCCCATCGATAAAAACAGGGATACAGGGAGGGACAGGGAGATCCAAAGATAGTATATGAATTTTGGCTAAAAGCTCCTCCCCCTTCCCTTCTTGATAGACCAGTAGCGTTTTGTTTGAAACATACAGTTATAATATAATATATGATGCTCAGCAAACTGTTAATTAAGCCCTGGTATGGAGGGGGATTTAACTGCAATGCACATAACAAATGATTTATAAACAAAGGCCTTAAGCCTTTTTACTAGAAGTATATGCAATGTACTATTTTTCTGTAAATCTGTGATTTGACATTTGTTTCAGGCTTTCATTAAATTCTGAACTTAATACATCAAATTATTTTGAGTTTAAATTACACAATCTAACAGGGAGATTTTTAAACATTTGATTTAAAGTCTGAGCATGTTTTGTAGGCTTAAACATTTTGCAAAGCAGTCATAGTGCTGTACATTTTTTTTTTAAATTGAATAGTAAAGTATATAGGTGTTTGAAAGCCACAAGAATTTACCCAACTATTCCTAACCAGGCAGTAGCTCTCTGTTCCGAGGTATAGATTTTATGTTAGCGTGTCTAAATAAAGACTAGTACTTTGCTCTCCTGTAAGGTTAATTTACAAACTGGGCTATTAATGAGGAAAGGGCAAACGTGTTAGGGCCCGCTAGTGCTGCCCCTTGCTTTTCTAGCAGACTGTTCAGTATGGCAACTGTAATTTAATGTTTGTCCAGTATTCATGTATATCTTACAGCATTTGATCTTGGAAGGTCTGTCTAGCAGTGAAGGAGCACATCATTCTGTTAGACTTGTAGTTAGTGTTTCATTTTTCTTTTCTGTAACTGTTTATTCCTATGTGTTTTTCAGATGAGATAGTGGGAGGCCTCGGAGAAGGGACATTTGGAAAAGTGGTGGAGTGCATGGACCATGCCAGGTTTGTAAAGTCCAAGTGTTTTGTCAGATTATCAGATGATGTGCATGTATAATATTGTGGGTTTTTTTGGGTCATATTGTTCTCTACAGTCGGTAATATGTTGTCGTGTATTTTACACCCAGGGGGAGCACACGAGTGGCTCTGAAAATTATACGCAATGTAAAGAAATACCGGGAGGCAGCTCAGCTGGAAATCAATGTCCTGAAAAAGATCAGAGAGAGAGACCGGGAAAACAAATAGTAAGTTTGTGTGTGTTTGTTAATATAATTATGCACAGATCCCTTTTAAATGCTTGTATACATGTGTATCCTGAAACCAAAATCGAAGATCCTCCACCTGCGCTCAGGCTGTGTAGAAGTGCAAAGCGAGGGGGGGAGCTTTTAAAGGGATATGTGAAGGAAGCCCCTGTTCGATGGACTTTTGCAGAGGCCTGAAGGCCTGCCTCATCCCCACAGACTTTGGGCCTGGTCCCAAGAGCCCCTAAAGGGGGCTATTGTCACTGTAGGGATGGGTATGGGGATCCTGGACGCTTACTGTGGTTCCCAACTGGACTTGAGCACCTCTGTGCATTGCCTGCAGTCATTTTAGACATAGAGCGCCTGACCGGCAAATACCCTGGAACTGTTCCTTGGATTGGGACTTTGCCGAGGTCCAGTCAATCTTTAAGCTGGTATTGCTTGAAGACCACCAAATAGCGCTCTAGGCGAGCCAAGGAGGATCAGAGGATACCTGGTCTTTAGTGCTCCCCCTCCCCAGAGATCCAGGAACTCCTTTTTGGGGACCAGGACTAACCCGCTGCATGACTGGAACTTCTCAAAGAAAATAGCCGTGAACTGATAAAACTTTAACACGCTGTTAATCGGGCGTGGATTCTCTGATCTGGGCACTATTTGCACAAATGTATGGTCCAGGGAAAAGGAGGGTTCTGGCTGACATTTTGTATACAATTTCTTTAGGACTGAGAGGTGACAGCAGGAAACCAATTGTGTTGACCTGGGATAATGTGATTAATTCCTAGACAGAGGGGTACTGTACATTGTTCTATTTGCAGTAAGAATCAACATTTCAGTGTATTAATAGCGGTGTGCTCTGCAAAAAAATCATTCTACCGCATACATTCAGGCTTTTCTAATGTGTGGGGAAAAAGCTATAGTAAAGCTTTAATTATTGCTCTACAAAGAGGGTCTCCAGAGCTATATTCACGGCTTGCTGGTACTTTAGAAGGGGTCTTCAGAAACCCCAATCAAGCTTCACCACTGGTTCTCAAGTTCTCCAGAGTCCCCTGGTCGTACCAAGAAAGCTGATCTGGCAGAGATACTCAGTTGGAGTACGAAAGCTGTGTCACAGGATCCTCTAATACACCCAACCCAGTCCTCAAGTACCCACTACTTGAGGACTGGCTTGGGAACCACTGCTGTAATACATATCTGTATTCCTAATGCTACAGTCTTGATGTGCCTAATTAGCTATGGCCATGATTCTCTATGGCAGACCGTGACGACACTGTGCACGCATGAATTTATGGTTTGAGCGCTGTAACAGACCTGTCTCTCATACATAGTCTTGGAAGAAGTGGCTTAAAGCCATGCTTCCAGACTTTCTAAATATTAAATTGTTTTGGGGAAAGGACAGGGGGTTAGGACTGAAGGCACTATAACAACTTCAATAAGCCTGCAGTATTCCTTTTATTGAAACAGTTTCGGGGGTGTAGATCATGCCCCTGCAGTTTCACTGTTCAATTCTCTGCCATTTAGGCGTTAAATCACTGGCTGTGACTGACTTCCCCATGAAAATGTTTCATTTTCAATCTGATCTTACAACAGTATGTTTAGGAGTTATCTCTTGCTCTGTCAGTGGAACTTTAATCACACATACAGTAGGCTGTTGCAGGCTCTAGCTGCTAATTAACAGAGCAGAAGAACATTGTATCTGCAGCCACACTGTTGATCACCAATGTTTATTGCTATGATTGCACCAGCTATTGTGGCAGTGCACATCTGCTTGTTAACTCATGCACTACCTAAATAAAGAATAATAAAAAACAGAGCAGAAGAAGAGCTATTCTCATCCAAGTTTGGACACAAAATGTTAAAGTTTACTTCTACGTCAGCTAAGTAGCAATTAAAGTTTTTCAATTCCAGAAGAGTGCAGTTTTTTTTGTCAAATTTAAAAAAAAATATTGTAACAAAAATAAAATCAGAAACTGAGAATTATTGTAGGACTCCAGACATAATGGAGAACCCTTTCCCCATGAGTCACTGTCTAAGATCAGGAGGTCAAGACGTTCAAGGGATAATGCAAATAGTAACTTTGAGAGTGGGTAACTTTGTTTCGTATTAAAGCAGATGGAGATCTTTTCTATACCTGTACATCTTTTTTCTGGGTGTGATAGCTTTTGTTCTAGTCACATGACCCAAACAGTGGCAACTTCCCAGGTGTTGTAGCCCTAGCTGCAGAAGAGGCTTTTTAAAAACCAGAACGTGTGAACGGCTTACTTTTGTTTCTTCAAGGGACACTCAAACCCCCTAAAGCACTTCAGCTTGCTTCTAGGGGTTAACTGTGTCCTCATTTTTTTTATACTTTACAAAAGTGCTGATAATTAGAGAGATCAGCCCTTCTATAAATGTGCTACACTGCGCTCTGTCTGTGGGACCATCACACCTCGGAATTAAATCTACAATAAATTTCTTTCACTTTTTGGGAGAGGTTGGGGGTTGCCTAGGAGACTATCCAACATTCTAGCATTAAGATTAAATACATTTACCTATAAAGCTAAATATATATATTTAATATAGGATATGTTTTCATTAGAGTGAAGTAGCATATTTTATAAATGTGTGTATTTATTCTGCTTTATAAAACATGCCGAACGAGAGCAAATAAGAGGTACACGTCTGCTGTTTAATTCCAAAGTTTGTGTCTCTTTCATAGCATGTGTGTTCTGATGTGGGACTGGTTTGATTTCCACGGTCATGTCTGTATCGCCTTCGAGCTGCTGGGCAAGAGTACATTTGATTTCCAGAAAGAGAATAACTTCCTGCCATACCCAATCCAGCATATCCGACACATGGCTTACCAGCTGTGCCACTCCTTGAAATGTGAGTTTATTTTTGTGAATAAAGTTTTATTGGTTACTGGACGAGGGCTACTCATCATACCAATTGCATAGGTTTTCACAGTAACATCCAATTTTCCTTTTCATCCTTTGTAGAACATGCAGTCACGCAGGACTATTTAAACATTTGCAAGAAAATAAACAATGATACATAGGTCTTTTCTTGTAATTTTATGGAGTCTTCAGTACTAGGTCCATTATTAGACTTTTACTTCTTCTTTCCATCTCCAGACAGCTTGTCACAAATGTCACTCCTGTTACTGTGTTTCCTTCTAATGTAGTAGCTTTGGTTCCTTGGGGGATGCACTGTTATTTATGTTCCTGCTTCAGTGAATTCCCCTTGTGCTGTACATACCTTCTGACTAGCAGGAGATATAGTACAGTATATATGTAACCTCTACTCTATTGGCAATTGTATAGAACCTTAATGTGATAATTGTTGTTCAATACAAAGTTAACATTGGTGTGACGCACACTGAAGATGTTCAAATGTTGCTAGGTCCCCTTATTGGAACATAACGCATAATGGTCCAATTTGAGCAGTAGAACCAGCACACCCACTGACAGTATGAAAAGTTAGATTTTTATTTTTTTTCCCTCAAAATTGTTTAGACTGTTGCTGTTTCTTCCTTTTTAATTTATTTATTAAACACTCATTATTTTATCCTGTACTAGATTGTGCCTTGTTTCAAACAGGAATTCCTCCTTGCAATGTTTGTCCTTACTTGTAAACAAATGAGGAGTTAAAAGATAGTTTTACTCCCTTATTCAATGCCTCTCCATAGGCAAGTATTGGGAGGGTAGTGCGCATGCATGGCAAAACACTACACTGCGACAATCAAAAGCTGTCTGAGTCCTTTGAATAACCGAATCTGACTGTTATTCAGAGAAAGTGTTATGAAGAGTTTCTCTAGAGGTGTTTTTACCCCACATTGCTGCATCTACTCAACAGAAATGTTTCAGATTGCCATGTTCACACTAAAGGGCCACTACACCCAGATCACCTCATTGAGATTATGTGGCCTGGGTGACTTTTAATGTTCCTTTAAATAAATATATATCCAATTTAAATAAATCATATATCTCCTTAAAAAAAAAGCACATTTGCTACCATAACCACTATGTTGCATTGTAGGGGTTATGGTGCTTTCACTGTTCCTTTAACATTTGGATTGATCACTGTTCCCATTTTTTAAATTTATTTTTTATTTTTCCATTTACAGTTCTACATGACAACCAACTGACTCACACAGATCTTAAACCTGAAAACATACTGTTTGTGAATTCAGACTTTAACACCAGCTATAATGAGGGCAAGGTAAGTGTCGGGAGAGTAACACAACTTCAATACTGTCAATATCCCTATCATAGAGGGGCTTCAGTACATTGTATTTGCATGGCATTGAAACACATTTAATCAAGTTTTTGCATGTTTCCTGACCTGGCTCTGTCTTCTCTTCCTCTAGAAGTGTGAGGAAAAGCTTGTAAAAAACTCCAGCATCCGTGTTGTAGACTTTGGTAGTGCTACATTTGACCATGAGTACCATACAACCATTGTTGCCACTCGTCACTACCGCCCCCCTGAGGTGATCTTGGGTGAGTTGAAACCCTTGTTCCATGTGTCTAACTTGTAGTGGAGGTACAAAAGTGATTTGGTGATTGTCTGTGATGATTAATATTAGCACCGCACTTGTTTCCAAATTACATTTCTTTTTTTTCTTTTTATTAGCAGAGTGTGAATAGATACAACAGTGCCTGTATCGCCACAACAGCGTCACCAGGCTCTAATTTGTAGGCATAACATAACAATAGCGCAATATATTAGGTTTGCACATATCAAATTTACGAGGATAATGACAGGTGAAGACATGCATATTCATAGATTTAGCTAATGGTGTAGGTTCTTGAAACTTTGGTAAATTAACTGGAACTTAGGCAGACAAAGGGAGTTTGGGGAGATAAATGTGTCCCATGTTATACAGATTGTTAGTGTCCCCTGTGTGTGTTCTGGTGGATGTGTTTAATTACTTCTGCAGGTCCGGTTGACGGGTGCTCTTCGGTCATCAGTTGTGTTCATGTGACAGGGTGGCTGTGCGGTTTGGATGGGGTGTGTTCCTGCCCTTAGGTGGGGTCAGTATGGGTGGTTGAGTAGGTGCTCATAAAGGTTAGCCATTGCGACCAGCATGTTGTGTATTTAGAGTATGAGTGGGTCAGTGAGAGATGTAACTCTTTCATTAATCTAATAGATTCCACTTTTTGAATCCATTCCCTTATTGTCGGATGAGTTTGTTTTTTCCAGTAAATCGGGATAAGCATATTGGCTGCTGTGACTAGGTGGTTGATTAGCCTTGTCTGGAGGTCGGCCATCAGTTGTGGGTATATGAGGAATATGGATACTTTGGGTGATAGGGGGAGATTAGTCTCCGTTATCCCTGAGATCAAGGTTTGGATGACTGGGCATTGCCAACCGATAAGTCCCGGGGTGCCTCCTGGTTAGTGGCACCTCCAGCAGGAGTCTGGGAGGCTAGGGAATAAGCTGCTTAAGTGTGACGGGGTATAATGCCATCTAGCAATGCGTTTGTAGTTGTGTTCGTGTGTGGCGTTGCTGATTGAGGAGTGGAAAATGTTCGAAAAGATGCCTTTGCATTCTGAGTCGGAGAAGATGTTGAGTTCCCTTTCCCACTGGCCTAGGAATGGGGGCCTAGGGTGACATGTGTCGTTCTGAAGTAGATTATAGAGTTTTGAGATGTGTTTTGACTTGAGGCCTACGCTTTTGCACAGGTTTTCAAATGTGGATAAGTCTCTTGTTGCGCCGCGGAGGAGTGGTGTGGTTGATATGAAGTGTTAGCTGATTGACGTTGAAGCGTAGTAAAGGTGTGGCTAACGTGTCTGGTATGATCTCGTCTGGTGGTTTAATCCCTTGGGCGCTGAGTAAGGTTCCCAGCCTAAGGTAGCTATGTGTGTGTATATTTTTAAATGTAGATGGGTTGTAGGTTAGTGGGTATAGAGGGGGTGGATGTGGTGAGATACTTGGCAGTGGTCTAATCTGCTGCCATGTGCGTAGTGTCGGGGTTATGGTTGGGTGGAGTTTGTGTGGGTGGTTGAGAAGAGTTCTGCCGTTGTCATGCCAAGGTTTGGTGTGTATAGGTACTGGGAAACAGAGTGCTTCTAGTTGCACACATTGTTTTGGGTTATTGGGTATCGTCCACGCGTAAATCCGCAAGAGGACTATGGATTTATGGTAGTTCTCGATATTAGGTAAGCCGAGACCTCCATGGTGTTTGTGTTGTCAGTAGCTTGTGTGATAATCTGGGGTGTTTATGTGCCCATGTGAAGGTACTGAAGGTGCGTCTTAGGGTGGTGAAAAAAGTTTTGGGTAGGGTAATAGGAAGGGTTTGTAGTATGTAGAGAATTTTGGGTAGGATGTTCATCTTTAGGATATGTGTGCGGCTGAGCCAGCCAAAGATAAGTTTATACCATCTGGTTAGGTCTTTCGTGAGAGATTGTAGCAAGGGCAGGAAGCTTAGACTATAGATTTTGGATAAATTGAGGGGTATGCAGACCCCCAGATAAGTCACAGCTTCATCTGCCCAGCGGAACTGGAATTCCCCCTGCAAGGAGTTTTTCGTCTCTTGGTTCACCTTGAGTGGTAATATCTCACTCTTTGTAAAATTGATCTTGAAGTTGGATATGGTTGCGTACCCATTAATGTCTCGGATTAGGGCTGGTAGGGAGGTTGTGGGTTAATGGAGAACAGGATGTCGTCGGCAAAAGCTGCCAACTTGTGTTCCCCGTTATTTGTTCGTATTCCCTGGATATCTGGGTTGTCTCTGATGCCCTGCAGGAAGGGCTCCATTACTAGAACAAAGAGTAGAATAGAGGGGACACCCCTGTCTCATGCCATTTCAGATATGGAAGGGCTGGGATAGTTGTCTGTTGACATGGACTTTGGCAGTGGGGTTGGAGTAGAGCGCGTTCATCCACCTGAGCCACGCGGGGCCAAACCCCAGGTATTCCAGGGTTGTAAAGAGAAGGGACTAGTCCACCCTGTCAAAGGCCTTCTCCGCGTCAATGGAGACCAATAGGTATTGCGCTGTGGAGAGCCTTGAGAGGTGTATAAGATTTAGCACTTTCATGGTAAATTACATTTCTTATGATGTGCTTCCAACTTCAGGGATAGCTAAGCATCATGGTAAATGTAGTGCACAAACATCTGGATTGCTATGGTTAACCATCAGTGGTCTGTATGAACAGAAAGTATAAATGTGGGTGAGCAAGATTTAAAACTCTACATTCTAATTATAATGGCTTGAATGTGAGTATTAACATCATTGAGATGTGGTAAGTAGAAAATCTTGATTATAATCACTTTCTCCTTTTCCCCCAGAACTCGGCTGGTCTCAGCCATGTGATGTGTGGAGCTTGGGCTGCATCCTCTTTGAATTTTACACTGGATTCACTCTCTTCCAGGTACTCTTTAAAAGTCTGGTATATCCGTCTCATTAAATGTGCCTGCTGTATATTTTGCCAGGTAGCAGCAAATATACATATAACTCCATCCTCCATTTACTCCTGCTGGCTCACGCTTGTTATGTGTGCAATAAGTTTCCCTAACCTTCTATGCAAACTTAATTTCCCATAATTCCTCCTGTTCCTAAAAAGTCGTGTCAATTCTAGGGCGGTAACTCCACTTTGATTTCGGTCCAAATCGCTGACCTTGATCAAGCATGCGTGCCTGCTAAAGTTCAGTGTATTGGATGGATAAGTTGCAGTGACTGTGATCGCTAGAACGTGTTGACCCATGAGTATGAGTTATTCTGTTTTTCATTGTAATAAATGTACGGCTGTGTAGGAGGACAGAGTGCCAGCAATTCAATACAGTTTGTATTAGGTTTTCTTTTATTAAAGCACTTGGTGACCAACAGCATACACTGTACATTGTGTCATGCCCACTCTAGCTGCCTATGGCTCGATCATAAGGCAGCGATGGGCACTGCAGTGAGACCTGTACGAGCGAATACCAATAAAACACAAGACATCCAGAAATATGTCTTGGCATTGGATTAGTGCCAGGCTTTCATTGTTCTGATGCCTTTCACTGTGTGTTACAGGTAGGCTGTGTAACTGATGCATGCCGAGAGCAGAGTGAATCAAGCAATTGCTGACTGTCTCACTAGTAAAGCAGCCAGCCATAGTGACAGATTGACTGACTGCTAGGCCGTGTGATAGCGATAGGAGCCATCGCAGTAATCATTTGCCTTGGCTAACAAGTCAAGTGATTACTGGGATTTGGCTCTCACAGCAGTCACTTATTGTGGGAGCTAATCTACTAAATGGTTAACTGTTAGGGTTACAAATTGTGTTAATGTTTGATGCTGCTCCATGTTATAACACTGATCATGTCAATAGAACAAATTGCTTTTCTTGGAAGCAAGCAAACAGGCATGTCATAATAGAGCAGGTCTCCTATATGGTTCTGTAAGTTCCCAAGAAACAGGAAATGGTACACATGTGGGGTGTCGCTGCACTCAGAGCTAGGGTTTTAAAAGGTTAGCCACTGAAGATATGGGGGAATCTTACAGCTGGGAGAGAGGAGGCAGTTAAGCCTGAGACTCTGAGAAAAAGGTACTGTGCGACACCTGCTTAAAGTGCTGTATTTCATTTTGTTTAACCCCTTAAGGACGGAGCCAAATGTACATGTTGTGAATAAAACAAAATGTAAACAAAACCTGGCATTTGTGCTACATGTCTGTCCAACCGTAATACACCTCTTTCATGTACAGGTTTTATGGTGTCTTGGAAAGTTATAGGGTTAAATATAGTGCTAGCAAATTAAATTCCCTTTACTTTCGGCATGGGTTGTCAGGCAGGTCCCGCTAATTGTAATTAATTAAGATACCTAATTATGTAAAAATATTACATAAATATATATGTAGAATTAATATAGGTGTATACAGCCATTAAACTCAAAACAATTAGTTTAGTGAGGATCAAGGTATCTATAATAGTAGGTTGAATGCAGATAAATATTGCTCAGGATTTTTTAAAAAGACACTGACATAAGAACTATAGACAATAATTGAGTAAAATTCAATTTAAAATGAAGATAGAAATGAGACTATATTATAAAATAATATTGTTAAATATAAATAACTATATAAAAAAAAATATATATTTATAAAAGGAAGGGGTTATGTGAGTATAAAATCCATGTTTTAGTAAAAATCCAAAAATATTCTAAAAAGTGGCAGATTTCAAAATCATTGTTAAGTCCATGTGGTTGCATGGTATTCAAGTTAAAGATCCACTGCATCTCTGTTTTTCCTATCAATTTTATTTGGTCTCCACCTCTCCAATTACCGATTTTTATTTTTTGGATTCCCATAAATTCCAATAGTGAGGGATCACTGTGATGTTTTTAAAATGTAGGGACACACTATGTTTTAAAACATTTTTAATGTTTCTAATATGTTCCTGGATCCTTGTGTTAAGTGTCCTCACTGTCCTCCCTATATATGCCAAACCACATGGACAACTAATCATATAGATCACTTTGGTAGACTGACGGGTCATAACCTGCTTGATTTTAAAAATTGTATTCACATCTTGTGGATGGTGGAATTCTCTTATCACTCTTTTGGGATATAAATAAAAATTTTACACTTTATTAACTTTATTTGATTTTATTTCCAACCAGCAGGGGGACTACCTGTCATTACAGGCAGTCCCCCTGCTGGCAATACAGCAGCCAGCTACCCCGGCCATGTGATTGTGAGGTCCTCGCAAGGACCTTACTCTCACATGGCCGGGGGGGCTGCAGGAGAGATGATGTGCTGCGGGGGGGGGCTCCCTGGGAGTCCCCCCAACCGCGATCGTCGCGTGGGATCGCCGGCGACCGGGTAAGTAAACAAAAAACGGAGGGCGTACTATTACGCCCGGCGGCATTTAGAGCTGCCTAAAATAGGGCGTAATAGTACGCCCTCCAGTCTGAAGGGGTTAAAACTGGGAACCAGATTAGATGGCCAGTTTAATAGTTGGTAATACTGTTGTTTAGTAAGTCTCCAAGTTGGAGTAGGATTTATTTTCTTTTTGTTTTATTTTGTGGGAGAGCACAACCTTGTATATATTGTGGAAAGTGACAATAAACTGCAGTACTATTTTATCCTGACTTGCATTTGAAGTTTGTGAAGAGCCTGGCCATCCTGCCACAAGATAGATAGATATAGATAGATATATATAGATAGATATTATTAAAGTTAGGGCGCTCTGAATCTAAATCTGGAATTGAACAATATAATGTTAGTAATACAAATGCTATAGTGTTCCTTTAAATACTGGGGGATTCTACAAATATTTTTTTGTTTAGGATTCTGTGACCTGCTATTAAATTTATAATCTCAGCAGACCATATTTTGCAACGGTTTAGCTTTTACAAGGTTAATTCACTTGCAGGATTAGTCCAACAAATTTGAAATGTAATAAAATGTCTCAATTCTGTAAGATTTTAACAATCTGAGTGAATCTGTTATGAGTTGGGTTTTCTTACTTGTGTAGAAATTCTAAGTAAACACAGTGACATTTGTTTTTTTATATACAAAAAAATGATACTTGGCACTCACCCTTTCATGTGAATAATGTAATTTAGCCTAGGTGCAATCCCGTGTTGAAGATATATAAGCAAAAGTAAAGAGATGTACTCCAAGGACTTAATAAGTGAAAAAAGGGTAATTTATCCCAATAGGTATTACATCAAAAATTAGCCGACGTTTCGACCTATTCAGGTCTTTCTCAATGACCTTAAATATAGTGCTAGCAAAAGACTATATTATTGTCAGTTCTTAAAACCAAAATGTATTATGTGTGGGTTGCCCCTAAAGAGCGTAAAGTTACAGTAACACAAATACATGGAATTAAAAGGCCAACTGTCATGTAGAATGTTTGTTTAAATAGGTATACTTTGCATTGCAGATGTAACAAACTATTCATTTTAGAATTATACATAAATGTAAGCACACTCGACTAACCTTTTTTTCCATTCTGATAGACACATGATAATCGTGAACACTTGGTTATGATGGAGAAGATTCTTGGACCAATGCCACGACGCATGATGTACAAAACCAGGTAAGGGAAACGGGCTCTGTTTTCTTATCAAAACATTTTGATAAAGGCCTTGATGGGCCAAAACGTCACCCATGTACTTGGCACCTTAATAAACGATGACTCTTCTTCAAGGTTTGTGCTGCATTATTTGTTTTTGTCTACAATTCAAATCCTAACAGTATTACTTACGAAAAGTGAGAATTTAAACTAATGAGGTAAACGTAATCAAACTGGAAACATTCTCAAAGTCAGCTACTTTAACCCCTTAGTGACCAGGCTGTTTTTCAATTTTCTCACTGTTAAGGGCCAGGGCTGTTTTTACATTTCTGCGGCGTTTGTGTGTAGCTTTAATTTTACCCTTTATCATTTACTGTACTCACACATAGACTGTTTTTCTCGCCATCTTTCTAAAGATACCATTATTTTTATCATATCATATATATTGTACTATTAAATTTTTTTTTTTTTTAAATATGCAAAAAACACCCGTGCTAAATAGTTTTTCTTTTTTTTGTCCTGAGTTTAGAAATACCCAATGCTAACATGTTAGCTTTTTTTGCAAGTTATATGGCTATAAGTACAAGTAGGACACTGCTGTTTCAAAATATGTATATTTTTAAAATGTATCTAAAGTGACATTGTAACACTGTGATCTGTCATAAATCTCTGAATCACACCTCAAATGTACTTTTTTTATTTTATTTTTTAAAAGTAGACATTATGGGGTATGGCCAGTCTTTTTTTTAGTAGCCACTTAGTCGCAAACACTGGCCAATGTTGGAATTGTTTTTGTTTGTGTGTTAAAAATGCAAAAAACTATTATGAATGCTAACTTTTGAATAAGTGGCTACTAAAGATTGAACATACCCCATCAGTGAAAGTGACGATTGTGTGTGAAAATTGCAAAAAAGTTCACTTTCACTGACTATATCATCGCTGTGATATTACTGTTTTGAAACATATAATGATTAAAATTTAGTTTTAAATATTTTTACATTTTATTTTTCATTTTATTTTTTTACAATATATATTTACAGTGTATATGTATAATATGTGTGTGTGTGTGTATATATATATATATATATATATATATATATATATATATATATATATATATATATGTATATATATATATATATATATATATATATATATATATATATATATATATATATATATATATATATATATATATATATATATATATATATATGTACGTGTGTAAATTTTATATTGATATATGTAAGGGGCAGAACGTAAAATATGATACCCTACTAACCTCAAGATCTGAGGAAAGGGATTTAGGAGTAATTATTTCAGATGACTTAAAAGGTAGGAAGACAACGTAATAGAGCAGCAGGAAATGCTAGCAGAATGCTTGGTTGTATAGGGAGAGGTATTAGCAGTAGAAAGAGGGAAGTGCTCATGCCATTGTACAGAACACTAGTGAGACCTCACTTGGAGTATTGTACACAGTACTGGAGACCGTATCTTCAGAAGGATATTGATACTTTAGAGAGAGTTCAGAGAAGGGCTACTAAACTGGTTTATGAATTGCAGGATAAAACTTACAAGGAAAGGTTAAAGTAACTTAACATGTATAGCTTGGAGGAAAGACGAGACAGGGGGGATATTACATTTAAATACATAAAGAGAATCAACACAGTAAAGGATGAGACTATATTTAAAAGAAGAAAAACTACCACAACAAGAGGACATAGTCTTAAATTAGAGGGACAAAGGTTTAAAAATGTCAGGAAGTATTACTTTACTGAGAGGGTAGTGGATGCATGTAATAGCTCTCCAGCCAAGGTGGTAAAGGTTAACACAGTGAGGGAGTTTAAGCATGCATAGAATAGGCATAATGCTATCCTAGACTTAAGATTAGGCCAGGGACTAATTAAAAGTATTTCGGAAGTTTGGCAGACTAGATAGGCAGAATGGTTCTTCTTTGCCTTTACATCCTATGTTTCCATGTGTGTGTGTGTGTGTGTGTGTATATATATATATATATATATAATTTTTTTTTTTTTAACTTTTTTCACCAGCAGGGGGTGTCAGTTCAGGCAGTCCCCCTGCAGGCAGCACTATGGACGCCTATTGCTGCCATGTGACTGCTCTTTCAGAGTGGTCACATGGCCCATGGGGTCCTAATTTGCAGATGGGGGTCTGTCTGATAGCTTCCGATGCTCTGTCTCAGTGCCGGACACCATATGGGGCACCCCCGTAAGTGATCGCTCCAGGAGAGTGCTCACCCGGTGACCCGGCAGTCAGGGGAAGTATTGCAGGATGCCGCGAAATGAGACATCGCTGCAATACCGTTAGAGCGGCTGGAAGCAATTGCTTCCAGTGCTCACTTTTGCTGTGGACGTACTGGTACATCCGCGGTCACTAAGGGGTTAAATTTGACTTTATTTTGAATTCTCACTTTAGTGAATAACCCAGTAAAAAAAAAAAAAAATTCCTGCGGATGTAATTCTCAAATAACAATCTGTCTCTAGGGATTCTGGAGGGAAAAGACTTTATTTTGCTTATGTAATTTATATCTTATTAGTGTAGTTGTTTCTGTTCTATCCGACCTTAAATGAACACTGTAGTGTTAGAAATAGTTGTGTTGTTGTTTTTTTTTTTTGCTCCCTTTATTTTTTTTAAATAAACCCTACCACTCCCTTATTTCGCCGGCCAAGAGTGTGGGCTTGCTCTTTCAGCCCGCAATTTGGTCCAATCACTGGCTTCTCCATGAGAAGCCTGTGATTGGACAGCGTGCGGCTCCAGTGACATCAGGACGAGGCGCAGAAGAACGTTACCAGCAACTTGTCCAAGTGCTGGATTTCAGGTGAATAAAAACTTATTATCGGTTTCACAATGCCCAATAGGACAGGTTATAGAAATCTTTTAATAACATATAACTGTGTCAAGTAACTACATATCAATGTAACACAGTATTTACATGTCTAGTATTATAACTTGGTCTAAAAAAAATTTGTATGCATTTCTTGATGTGACTACCATATCTTTCACACTTCAGAAAACAAAAATACTTCCAAAATGGTGCTTTGATCTGGGATGAAACCACTTCAGATGGACGATATGTTAGCAAAAACTGCCATCCTCTAGTAGTAAGTACTGGAATTATTTTGCTCTGCAATTCAGTCTATAAAATAGACAATCCATAAAGTGTCTACGTTCCTCCCTTTTTCTTGCTTTCTCTTTTTGTTTTGTGTGTTTTTTTTTTTTTATATAAATGACAGTGGAAACGTAAAGTGGTCTTGCTTTAGATGGTATTATATAATATTTATGCATTCTTGTGGTATGACCACCACTAGAGGCGCTTCTTTATTGAAAACCAGTCTTGAAGGTCTTCATGTTTGGTGTCATCACGCAGAGCATAACCATGCCAAAAAGTAATAATGCTTCTCATAAATATTTATAACATTGGCATGTTCCTTTAAAGAGACACCACAGAGATCATAACTATTATGCCTTATTACAGTGGTTATGGTGGAAGTAGGCTTTAAATGCGGTCTGTATTTATAAAAACTGGTTTCTACTGTTTTGAAAAACTCCCATACCTTTTTCAGCCTGGGACATCAAATGAGTTTCACCTTCGTTAAAGGAACACTTCAGACCCACAAAGCACTTGAGTTTGCTGAAGTGTTTTATTTGTGACGAGTGTATTCTTTTTTGCAAAAAAGTGCAAATCTATATAGAAATTGGCGCTTTTGTAGATGAACTTTGTTGCACCCTCTTGGCATTCAAGCAGACAATTGGTCTTGTTACTTCTGTTTGGTTAACTCAGTGGAACTAAACTCAAAAGGCAACAATTGCCCAGAGATCCTGCCTTACAAAGACATCTTATTGATCTGTATTGGGAAGGAGGAGTGGGTCTGCAAAGGTTTTAAAAAAGAGATCTGCAGCTTTTACCAGCTGTTTTTAGATATACCCCCATGGGGGAAAAGGTATAATTAAATACATGCATGTTGTCATTGGGCCTGTATCTACTAAACAGTAATGTGTGTAGTTATTAGTTTCCTTTTAAAATATTTTTGGATTGCATTCGCACGTGTCCATGCCTCTCATCCTTAGTTTTGTTTTTGCAGAGTTACAAAACAAACCATACTCCTGGGGATGCTCAGTTGTTTGATCTGCTGCGGAGAATGCTTGAATTTAACCCTGCATTAAGAATAACACTCTCTGAAGCACTGAGCCATCCATTTTTTAGCTGCCTGAGCCCTGAAGAGAAGACACTGGTCAGTCGGACCTCGAGGGATCTCAGCAGATGACTGGAGACCTCCTTGGAATACAACTGTTGGTTGCCTCAGATTACTACAGTGAAGGACCACATGGCTTATATTGCAGGACCGCTAGATAGCCCCAGTGCTTTAGTGGCTGCTGCATATCTACCTCTTGACTGTAGAGGTTGAAGTTGCCATTGCACTTTTTAAAGAGGACAGTTGTTGCATTTTGATGCCTTAATCTCCCCATTGTAAATATTATTCTTGGGTAAATATGGAAAAGATGTTTGCAGAAGCTAAATTATCGTCCTGCAGGAAGCTATTTAAGAATGAACTTGCGCTTGCGAATTCCTGAAGGTGTTCTCTGCTTCACTTGGCACTGACGGAAGGGATCCCTTTAGTCTAGCAGACCACCTGCATGCTATGGTTTTGTTTGGGTTTCCCCCTCCCCCTTTTTCCCCTCTATTTCGGATCCAAGGGACAGCAGGATATTGAAACGTCTTTACATGTGGTTCGTATAGTTTTATAAATATATTTGTATACTCAGGGATGAAGGTTAATAAAATGCTTCAGTACTCCAAGAAGTAATGGTGAACTGACTTGGTAATAACTGAATTTTCATAAAACATGTCTGTCTTTCAAGCATTGCACAGGGGTCTGGGGAATGTCGCTGTAACTACTCTTTAAAGCTATTCTGTCAATAGATTTGGAAAGGTTCAATTTTTTTTTCTTATACTTTTTCTACTAATTAAAACTTGGAATTTTTTTTGTTTAAAATGATCAATGTGCTTTTCAAGATGTTCTTTTAGCACATTTTAGCCCAAGACCATTTAAAGGATCACTATAGGGTCAGGAACACAAACATGTATTCCTGACCCTATAGTGTTAACACAACCATCTAGCCACCCTGGACCCCTCATGCCTCCATAAATATAGTAAAAACCTTTCTGTATTCAAGGCTGAAGCTGTAAATCTGCATGCTGTTACACTCGGAAAACCAAGCAGTCTGCTGATGTGGTAGCCTGATCCAATCACAGTGATCCCCATAGGATTGGCTGAGACTGACAAAGAGGCAGATCAGGGGCAGAGCCAGCATGATTCAAACACAGCCCTGGCCAATCAGCATCTCCTCATAGAGATAAATTGAATCAATGAATCTCTTTGAGGAAAGTTCAGTGTCTGCATGCAGAGGGAGGAGATACTGAATCATAGGATGCTGTGCACAGTGCTGCCCTGTGCTCTGCTGACAGCAGATCTGAGTGGATGGAGGCATATTATGCCTCCATCATCTCTGAAGTCCCTCTGGTTCACTCTGAGTTACTACAACTGGAGGTGTTCCTAGCTTTCAATGTAAACACTGTATTTTCTCAGAAAATACAGTGTTTACATGAGAGGCTGCAGGGAGCTATAGTTCTCACCTGAACAACCTCTTTAAGCTGAAGTTGTTCAGGTGACTATAGTGTCCCTTTTAAATGAAAATCTCGAGTGGTAAGTGGACTCAAGATCTCAAACATGCTTGGCTGCTATTTATAGGTGTTTACATCTTCTGATTAAATGATAGTTAAGGGAACACTTCCTCTACAAATGTACCATACTGTTTGCCAAAGACAGTCAATATGGATTGAGTTCTGCCATTGGTGCTTTGTGTATGTTAATATTAGCAGCAGCGGTGATCAATGTGTCTTTTGTGAGAATCTGCCCGGGAGGAACAAAGTGGATGTGTTTGGTGGTGATGTGGTCATTTTAAAGATGTTTCACTCTGAAAATATACCCATTCTAATGTTGGGTATAGGAGTTGTATTGTTTGGTTAATAGTACTTATAAGATAACACTAGTTTATGGATATGGTATAATGCACTAAACTTATGTCTGAATTGTAAGATGCATCTATAGGCCACTGTCTGCCAGTCCATATGATAAATGCTCACCAAAGTGAAACTAATGCCTCGATTCCACTGAGCGGATCGGTACAGTTCACTCTTTTGGGTGTTTCCATTATGAAAGTAGTCCATACAAGCAAACCGTACCGATCCATTCAGGGTCCTGCTTCAGATGTAGGGCCATAGGAAATGGAACGGTTCGTTAGGGCGGAGCTACTATTCAATCCATTGATTGGTGGACAGGAAGAGCATTTTTTTCTAAACCCTGCATGGCCCTGAAACGTCTGACTTACAGTGGAAACGCTCACCAGAATGGGCTGGTCCATTCTAAACCTTCCAAGCTGAAACGAGGCATAACATGATCTTACAGAGCTGACTACTTAACATCCAAGTGTGTCAAGACACCTGATAAGATATGAATTTATTTTGCCCCTTGATAGTTTCTCAAGAGAAAGTTCTCAACCAGTTTTATTTTTTCACTGTGCTATACTGTTTTATCACACCGCCATGCCAGCTGATCATCTTACCACCTATCACTTGTAGCTACATCAGGCTCAAACTTGGATCTGACAAGGTAACAATCAATATCTGATTCACTTTCTGATCTGTGATTTAAAACAAACTTTTGCATTCTGTCTTGTTGACAAGTTTCAAAATATCAGGTGCAGAATCATATTTAATTCTGGTGTGTTTTTTTTTTTTTTTTTAAATCTGATTCTACTTATGGCATTTGAAGTTGTGGTGAGGAAGTGTCAGTCCAGGGCTGCACCTCTGCTGTGGAACTCCCTTCCCTTTTCCTTAAGCATTTCACCCTGTCTCCACTCATTTTAAAAAAAAAAAATCATTGAAAACTCACTTCTTCAAGAAAGCATATCAATTAAACTGTTAGCAGGTTTTCATCCCCCACCCTCCATGACTCCTCTCCTGCAACTGTCAAAAGCTACTTATTAAGCTTTCAGCGAATACTTTTCTAACATCTTACTTCATACCCCTACTTTTACCCTTTGTGTCACTATACCCCACTCCCTCTAGAATGTAAGCTCATTGAGCAAGGCCCTCCACCTCTCTGTTCCTGTACGTCAAGTTGTCTGGTTACAATTAAATGTCTGTTAGTCCACCCTTTGTACAGGGCCATGGAATCTGATGGTGCTATATAAATAATAGTTGCAAAATAACATTGTCCACAAAAATGCCCTAAACTGTAGCATTTCCTACTGGCAGACTGCTGTCTCCAATTATAAGCAATGTAATCCTAGTCATATCTTATATTATTTCCTTTCCTAATGTTCTGTTATCTTATGTTCTCCTGGTCTGGGTCCAAATCCTGTGTGTGTGTGTATACATCTCACCGTAATAATACATCATCCTCTCTGAGAAGCATTGCCTACTGTTTTGACCAAGCATTCAAACAAATAAAAGACATAGGGGACATTCAGTTATTGGGGAAAACTCCAATCACCATAACTACACAGTGTGCTATAGTGGTTATGGTACCCTGAGAACCCTCTTGCTGTAAATAGGCAGTTTGACTTTTTACCAGAGATCCACCAGTCACTTCCTATATTTAGAGATGGTGTGTGAGGGTGCTTAGAGTATTCCATTAACCTCTAAAGCACTTATGCACGCTGAGTCTTAAGGGAAATAATACATCTAAGTGCATAGAATATGCAAAGTTACAATTTATAAGCTCAGAAATGCTCTTCTGACAGCAGCCTAAAAATGGATACTAGAAGCTCCAAAATTGCTTTAGCTTAATGAAGCAGTTTGTGTGTATAAATTATGACCCATGTAGTCTTCTTGCTCTGCCATTTAGGAGTTAAATCACTTTTGTTTCTGTTGCAGCCCTTGTAACACTTCCCCTGGCTTTGACTTGCACAGCCTGCATGGGAAATGGTTCCATTTTCAATTAGGGATGACAGCACAGTGTGTTTACTCTACACACCTTGGGAAGTTAAACGTTAATCACACACAGGAGCATAGCTTTATGTAGTGGTTCTGGTAGCTATAGCATGTTCCTGAAGTCTAAGCAGTGTAAACAGTGATTTTCATTGGAAAGGCAGGTTTTTTTTTTTAAGATTGCCTAGTAACCCCTCTAGGTGCACTCAGACTGCCACTAGAGGAGGTTCCTGAACATTCCCCAGAGGGATGCATTAATTTAATGCATCTGAGGAGATGTGGACTGGCAAGGCATTTTGCTGCACATTTACAATAGCCTCTGACCGATTGTTGCATGAATGGAGGAGGGGGCAGCTGTAGGGAGACCAGCTCTAAGTGGTTGAAAAGATCATTTAAATCCTTTCATCTCCATGGAGAAGGGGCATTTCTGCCCCCATCCTTGTATATTTTTGTTGAGGAGAAATTGGGCTTTTATTACACATGAAATATTTACATATGAAACAATTTAAGGGAGCGGCAAGATGGTGGTTTTAACACTAAAGGTTCAGGAATACAGGTTTGTGTTACTGACCCTATAGTGTTCCTATAAGTGTAAATGTCATACTGTTAATTTTTTACTGATGAAGAAAAAAAACAAAACTGGTGGCTTAACAGTGCCCCCATGGCCAGGTTTTATGGGGTTTTGGAAAGTTACAGGGTCAAACAGTGCTTGCAAATTAAATTATCTGGAGTTTCTGCCTGGGTTGTCAGGCAGGCGTCCCACTATATAATAAAGTTAAAAAAATTAAATATACATCTATACACAGACTGAATTGTTAACATTCAGCAAGAGGGGTAAGTATGCTGGCTCCATGTGGTGTGACTAGGGCTGCTTAAAGTGATAACTCCTGAATGGCAGATAATGGGGTAGTTCATCAAAACCACTATATTAAGCTCACATTGTGGCGGTGCTCAGTGTCCTTTTAAATATCTGTGTGGGTTTCATACTAAAACGTTAAGCGTACACGAGGCAAGTACCATGTAACTTTCAAGAAATAAATATTTAAATGACCAGTAAAGTCACCTAGCCACATCTTAATGAAGGCTGGGCCCAGTCATTTTAAGCGTGCAATTTATTTTTTTGAACTGAGGTTTACAGGACAGGGATAAATCCACCTCTTTTGGCAGTCTTCCTGAAAGCCAGTTGAGGTGCTTTCCCTTCCAGTACCAAAAAAAAAAAAAAAAGCCATGGACCTTGAAGCAAATGCTGCCGACAGCTGTATTTGGCCACACATGCCTAGTTCCAATCCATTGCTTTTCTATGAGAACCTAGATATCATGGGAAAGGTCAGCTAGAGTGGTGACATTACTGGAGGAGTGCCAGCACTGGAAACTAGCAGGTTATCACTAAAGTGAGAATTCAAAGTAATTAAATTTAGGGTAAAAGGAGCAAATGCTGAAAAATGATTTGTCAGCTATGCTTCCAGTTCAGCCTCTCTGACCTTAAATTTGAATTTCACTTCAATGATTACCCACCTACAGTTAGGCGCTAGACAATTTATCAGCATATGGGGGTGAACAGAAGGGAAAATAAGTTTTATAGCAGCTTCAGGTTGAATGGGTACATATAACATCTGTACAGACTTCCAACATTTCCCTTTAATAAGTCTATAAGATGGGAAGTTATATTCAAGCTGCATTGAGACTACAGCAAACATGCTTCGGGTTGAAAAGTTATACGAAATAAGTTGGAGCTCTATAAATGCCAAAAATAATAAAGCCTCAACACCAAAATAGGTGTTTGATTTAAATAAGCCAATAGGGCATGCCTGCACATGAGAACAAGTGAGATATTACTCCTTGAGAAATGGATGGAGAGAATAGCTGTGTGTGACTTTGATAGCGAAATTTCTTACAGGATGTGTGCAGTATGTTACAGCAGGTCCACAATAACATGGACTTTGTTTTTGTAATAATGATTACAAAATGATTCAAGTTCAGACACTTGGATTAGACAATACATTGTTCCGGACTTAAATATGAAATAACGTGATACAGGTAAAATCAGAGCCCTATCTTGTTTATTCATTAAACAATATTGCAAAATGTAGGCTTTTGAACAGCTGTGCAGCAAATATATTTGGAGGAGGAGCTTGCTGAAGCATTGTGTTCCTTTCTCTCTCTTTCGCTTTGGAGGGACTTGATTCCATATCGAACTCAGGTTAATTTGTCCGGTAAGGCATTTTATAGCTCAGCTATTTTAGCTAGACACCATATTTTCAATCCTCTTTTGTCAGTATATTGAACAAACCTTCAGCTTCCGCCATTCTAAGCATGTTCAAGACAACCCCCATTCCCACTATCCACAACAAAGCCAGCAACACAGAACCGGTAATGACACAAAGTATTTTCATTTGGTAAAGAACACAGCAGTTATTTCTCAATCCTTCGAGTGCACCGCACAGCCCTCGTACAGGGATTGAGTATACAGTGAGGACCGTCGAGTTGCATGATAACAGGCATTGGTTACTAAATAGAAAATGCATGAATAACGGGAATTGACAACTAAAGTAATACATGACATCTTTCACATCTCACTGCTAGATGCATGCTTCCTCTCAATGGAGAGTAATCACAGAAAAGGAGGAGGGAAAAAAATTAAATATAATAATAAAAAAAAACCTGTTCCCTATGTAGTCCAATGCATTTAATACCGGTGTGTCCGTAAGCATGTAGGCATGTATTGTTCAGATAAACATAAGGATCACCATTGGTGTTTTATTAAAAAAAAAAAAAAAAAAAGTATCGATGGCAGCTGTGCCCATCTTCTTAAGGCAACAGTGTCTCAGTCTGGGCATGCAAATCCAATAGATTGCACCACCCTTAGATGGAATGCAATGGAATCACAAACTTGCATCCAAATGGTGAGTGGTAGCTTATTCCCACCTCCCTGAACACCTTCTGAGGGATGCCAATATCACAGAGGTACACACGTCCTGCCTGCTCCCCCAGTGCCAGAGGGAGGCCCAGCTCCAGTGACCACTTGGCATGTATACCTTGCTCTTGATCATTTACAGGAGGGTCAATGCTAAGCACAGGTGCACGGTTGCCATTGGCCCAGTCTACCGCTGCTCGGTACCACGGCTGGTCACGCAGGAAAGCATTTTCATGGCAGTCCAGACAGTTTATGACTAAATCCACAGGGCAGTCTGGAAGATCTAGATAAACAAAAAAAAATTAAAAAATATATATATATAAGTTACAAAAGAGGACAACTCAGTTGGTACTTTAATAAAATGCATCCTTCTGATATTATTAAAGGTATCACACTATAAACATGGGAAGCATAATATTGTAAATGTCTTAGAGGATTGTAGATTTATACATGTATCTTTAAAATAAAAATATCACAACACAAAAAACCCCCAAGGTAAAATACCTCCACGCAAGAAAAATAAAGAATGCAAAATTAGATTTTTGTGGCAAAGGAAGCTGTGTGGAGACCTAGCTCCCCTGCCCTGCAGAGATGATATCACCCACACTGTGTATAGCATTGTATTAAAACGCTGTAAATCATTGTGACTGAGTGCAGAGCAACCAAAGGTGGCTACGTTTACCTACATTAATGGAGGATCCCTCCCACCTCCTTTATTTTAAGGTATGAAGGGATTCACAAAGATTATAAAGGTCAATATGTAGCCATCTTTAAAGCAGTTCTGTCACTTTCTGGGGGTTTTGAACGATACAGGTTGGTGACATTCTTGCTTGGGAGAGCAGCAGAGACCATGCTCTCTTGTACATGCACAGGAGTACAACTCATTAATGAATGAGTGGTATAAAATTCCACTAGATGGCAATGTTGTGCCATTACCACTTAACCTTAGAAGCCAGAGTGATGCAGAATCACGCTCAGAGTATATATAGACAGTGTTTATAAATAATGCTCACATGTCACAGGCAAACCATTAATCAGACCAGTTCTACACTTAGTGGTACACTAAACAGATAAGAAAAAAACAACAAAATAAACAGAACTCCCAGGTAAGCAGGTGAGGTGTTGTATACAAATTAAATTTAAAAAAAAATATTTGATATAGTTAATGTGGAATGCTTTTAGAGGGCCTTCCCCCCTCCATTTATATTCTGTTTATTTTCTTGTTGTGGCCATTTTCAATCTCTCTGAACTTTTTCCTTTCAGGCCCTTTTATTGCCTTTTACAATGTATACACACGTTCTTCACAGCAGTCACCATTCCCACAATGACCTACAGAGAATGAGTGGCAATTGCGAAGCTCTGGTGCAGCAATGACATTCAACATCTCCACACGGAGACGCTGAACACTGCCCATGATTGATTCAATGTATCTCTATGAGGAGTTGCTGATTGATGCAGAATTGGCATGTTTTGAAGTGCATGTGCAATAGCCTCAATGCTTTCCTGTAGAAAGCACTGGATTGGCTGAGATGAAAGCCGATGATAACAGCCCAGGAGGCGGAGTGTGTGCATGGAAAGCCACAAGGAGGTCTTCACGGCGTTGGAAAACCGGGAGCAGAATTCAAATTTTCCACAGGTGGGAGGGCAAGGCACCTAAACTGTGTTTTCACACCTTTAGTGTCAGGAATACAAGTTTCTATGTCTGACACTAGTGTTCCTTTAATCTATTGGTCATCACCAGTGATTTCATATAAATTGTCTGGAATATCACATGGTTTTGCCAATGTGTATCTGTGTACATATAACTAGAAATTGTCCTTTGATGTGCCCTTACAGTATTACAATATTGTGTTTGTTTCTGGTTATATTTTAGGGTTATGGTTACTTTGTTATATTCTCTGATTTGACATATGAGACAGAGAAGTCTAAACATAGGCACCCTCCCATTTCCTTTTTTTTTGGAATGATGTCCCACATCTTGACAGGCCTAGACAGGCTGTTTGAGGAATTCTGATCCAGGCTCTCGCCGCAGTTGGGAAGCTGTATCGCACAGCTGGCCGAGTGTTGGGTGCGGACCTAGGCCGAACGCATCTGGGAGGAAGAGACCGTGGCGAACTCTGCCCCAACACCAACGCCAGTTATAAAGCCCGAGCACCTAGCACACGTGTACAGAAGGCATCGGTGCAGCAGCCTGCCACACATTACAAGCCAAGACCGGGCCACCCTCATCTGCCCATCGAATCACCATGCACCTCTGGGTAACATCATTGTGTCAGACTGATTTAGACTCCTAACATGGAACTCTGCCACTGGTGCAACTCACCCACTCATAGCTTACAATGCCTTCAGTTTCAACATGCAGTCAATATTAAAATTGTTTTACCATATATGATGAGCTTTAACAGTCAACTCGTTTATTGTTAATCCAATATACAAGCATATTCTCTTACTCTGTTTTCCCCCAAAAATAGTGCAGAATTTCAGATATCTATTTCAACATTCTGTTTAATCATTTAATTGCAATTACTTTATTTTTGCAGTGCAAGATAAACACAGAGAAGTAAAGAATTATAACAAATAAAAATATGGATGAGAAAACGTTTTTTCCCATAATGCACATTTCTGAGGTTTACTTTCGTGTTTAGTATCCCTTCCCATGACTAACGAGATAATATCTTATTCTCAGTGCAGGATGGTATTCATACCAGTTTCACATGTGGCATGAGTTTAACAGGGATCATTATGCTGGTCTGTTGGTGAATAAAGGAAACAAGTGTAATTTAATTTTCCCCAGTGAAGTTAAACAGATTTAAAGAAGATCTACATTATTTCACAAATCACAACAGATTTCCAAGCTTTTTATTTAAATTAAATCGGTTGTGCAATGTAAAAGACGTTCAACAATGTGGGAGGGGAGGAGAGAAAATTTTAAAATAAAAAGTTAAACTGTTTACCAACAAACCTTGCATATATTAGTCCCTTAAGGACGCATGGCGCAAAATTTGTAGTATTTTTCCAGCACTGTTTCCATGCTGATAACTGGGAACCCCAGAATTTGTGACCCCAGTCTGACCAATGCTCAGCTTGCAAAGCTCAAAGTTAGAACCGCAAACAGGCATTTATATGGGATTGTTACCACACAGTGTGACCAGGGAAACCTATGTATTCCTGGATACCTCGGGACATTTCTTTAACCCCTTCCCGACCGCGGACGTATCAGGTACGTCTGACAAAAAACGGTCCATAATGACCCTGGACGTACCTGGTACGTCCGCAGCTTTTTTGAGCGCTGGAAGCTCTGATAGTATTGCAGTGATGCTCTGTATGTGCTGAGTGCCTCGAGGGGTCCTGGCACTCAGTGTATATATAATATATATAAAAAAAATATATATAAAATAAATAAAATGATCAATATTAACCCCCCTCCCTTTCTAAAGGCAGTGAATCATGGGGCTTCTGGGGGTGTCCCTAGCCTGCCTCATCATAAGGGGCAGGCTGGGGTCATCCAATCACAGCTTGCCCCATTAGCAATTTCATCCCAAGCGTGTTCCCCATTTCTCTGATTAGTGTGGATCTGCCTCCATCTCTTCACTTGTGTTTTAGTGAGAGAGGGAGACAGATCTTGAGACCCAAAGGCTCTTTTCAGAACGATTAACCCGTCTTGCCAGTGATCACTATACAGATCACAGGCTCTTGCACAGCAGCACTTATTTTGCTGTCTGTTCATTCTTTTAGGGTTTTTTTGTGACAGGTCACTAAGTGATTGTGATCATGTCACATGGGTCACGGAAGTCAACCAGCGCTGAGCAGTCATATGCCACCCTTGCGCTAGAGTCTGACATGTCTATGTCAGACTCTGACCCTTATTTTGACCCTGCCAGGTGCTCAGATACATCATCACTAGATACAGTGTCTGCTGCTAGTGATGCATCTAGTGATGTTGTATCTGTGCCTGCTAGTCCCCCTGCCAGAAGGAGACGTGCTGCTCCAGCTGGCAGAACTGCTGAGGAGTGGGTAGTGCCTCATCGCCAGAGGCCAGACATCCCATCCTTTACTGCAAATCCTGGCATTAATTTGGATGTCACAGGATTTAGCCCTCAGCAGTTTATGGAGGTGTTTCATTCGCGATGATGTATTGGGGAACATTGTCAAATTTATATGCCCATCAATTCCGAGCTACAAATCCTGACTCTTTTTTGGCAAAGCAGCAATGGGCCCCATCGATGTGCCAGAATTTAAAAGATTCTGGGCATTGACTATGCTGATGGGCATAATAAAGAAGCCCACTATCCGTTCCTACTGGAGCAGTAGCTCCATCTGCTCTACCCCCATTTACTCCCAATGTAGGTCGAGGAAGAGGTATGAAATGATTCTGCATTTCATGGACTTCAGCAACAACAGCCTGTGTCCCCCTAGGGAGCATCCCCAGTTTGACAGGCTGTATAAAATCCGCCCCCTGATTACCCACTTCGCTGCCAGGTTTGCAGAGGCTTATATACCTGGAAGAAATATATGCGTGGATGAATCCCTGATGAAGTATAAGGGAAGGCTGGGATTCAAGCAGTATGTTCCTTCCAAGCGCTCTAGGTATGGTGTAAAGATGTATAAGCTCTGTGATAGCGAGAATGGGTATACTCAGGCCTTCCGGGTGTACGAGGGAAAGGATAGCCACCTTGACCCTCCAGGTTGCCCAGAACATATGGGAACCAGTGGCAAGATTGTCTGGGACCTGATATTCCCCCTGATGAACAAAGGGTACCACTTGTATACTGACAATATTTATACAAGTGTCCCTTTGTTCAAGCTACTGTACTGTTTTGATACAGTAGCTTGTGGCACAATCAAAAAGAACAGCACAGGTTTCCCAGGACAACTTGCACGCACCCGGCTAAAAAAGGGGGAGACCTCAGCTCTGTGCCAAGAGGAGCTGTTGGCAGTTAAGTACAGAGACAAGAAGGATGTGTACCTTCTTACCACCATCCACACTGAGGGGACTGTGGAGGTCCCTGTACGTGGCAGAGCTGAGAGAACAAGGAAGCCAGTGTGCATCAAGGCCTATAACCGGTATATGGGTGGGGTTGATCTGGCAGATCAGCTGCTGCAGCCCTACCTAATTATACAAAAGACAAGGGCCTGGTACAAAAAGGTTGCAATCTACCTAATGCAGATTGCAACCCACAACGCTTTCTTGTTCAAAAAAAGAAAACCCCGGGACGCAACTGAGATTTTTACAGTTTCAGCTCCAGATCATTTCGGGGATTTTGTACCATGATGCACCTGCTCCCCGGGGCGGTGATGGGAGAGAGCAGAGTTGGGGCTACACATTTTATTTTTAAAATTCCCCCTACTGCAGAATCCCCAAAAAAGATGCAGAGTCTGTTTTAAGATGGAGCAGAGAAAAGATACTGTATATCACTGTCCTGATTGTCCTGGACTCTGCATTGGAGACTGCTTCAAACGATACGATTTTTTTGGTGTCTTTTTTTTGGTTTTGTTACATTACAACGGGCTCTCCTAAATCACAGTCGAAAAGCAGTGTGCGTGTGTAAAAATGAGGATTGAACAGTTACCTCCACACACTTCAACTTTTTTTGACGAAAATGATTGCATCTAAGGCATCAAAACACTCCATATACAATACTGCGGGGTGTCAACTTTTCAAATATATGCACGCTCATGGCAAGAAAATACATTGGAATATCTGATAAGGCCCCCAAAAGGAAGATAGGCAAACAAGATATGTAAAATTTTAAAATGCATATCAGACATTTTGCTTTGCACCCCCCAGTGAACCAGACACACGTATGCATGGGTGGTATCTCTGTACTTGGGAGATGTTGCTGAGCACATATTGGGGTGTCCTTTGGCAGTAACACCTAACAGGAGCTGAGAATCTATGCCCAAAGTAGAATGTGTGAGTGAAAAATAACACCACAAAAACTTTGACAGAGACACACAATGTCTCACAATGGCGCTGCCATCTTTCTCTGGCAGGTTCTCTTCAGCACCAGGAGCCGACGTCATGCTGTGATCTCGTGAGACCCTCCATAGACCCTTCCCTTCAGCCATCACTGGTGAAAGCTGTCAGGATTGACACTGTAGCTCAGGCATAGGAAAAATACATAAGACAAAAGTAGTCCATACTTTGTAGTATATATTTTTACTTAGAAATAGATTAAAAATTAAAAAGTAGGAAAGAGGAAGTGATTGGGAAAAGGAGTTTGTACCGATCGCTTACTCACTAGGCAAACAGCACCCACCAGGCACACAAAACATCAGCAGTGACAACCCATGGAAGGAGTCCTCCACAAATGATACATCAAACTCCAAATTCTATATACCATGGCACACGGACACCAGGATATGTGTTGACTAGAAAACATTTTACCCAGTTGTACAGCAAAAAACACTTAATTCTGAATCAGTGAATGATTTATGGATTATTGGGGAGCTTACATCATCATCATCTTCAAACCTTTAGAGAACAAAATACCTATGGAAATTACTTAAAGTATGGAGGGAATGAAAACAAACACACGCCTTGGATGAACTTGGCAGTACAGGTATATCAGATTATAACATCTTTACTAAAACCAATGCATTACAAAAAGAGTAGCACAGCTGGCCACTAACCTTTGACATTTGGCACTTGCTTGCCCTGAGTCTGACAGAACAGATTTAACTCGTTTGTCACAGGTTCCAACATTTTCACAAAATTTGGCAGAAAGAGGATGATGTCTACGTCGTGGTTGGCCAAGTGACGTCCGCAGCTTATGCCCTGTGCCCCCTTTACATGGGGTCCACAAAGGAGAGCAACAGTAGGTCTCTGGTGCACATTCTTAGGGTTTAGCCTTAAAAAAAAAAAAAAGTGGTGATCAAAGCAGTTCAAGATTCTAACTCAAAGGGAAAAAAAAGCCACCAAGATTAACATTCTTTAAGGTGTATGTTTGCATATATAAAAAGTGATGGTCCTTTTCCTGAAATCCCAAATAGCAAAGAAAGGCTTATGGCACTATGGGATAGGACAGCCTATAACTGTGCCCAGAGTTGGATGGCCAGTACTTCTATTCATTTCAGATTAGCAGTAAAGGGGTTGTGCTGTAGTGGTTGGAAGAGATTTGTTTTTGGCCAAATGGTTTCACACAAACTAGAGGAATGGTGCCCAAAAAGCTCTTTGCGTTATATCTGCTACAATGAGCTGTAATACTTAGGGGCTTAGAGTACCCTTTTAAAGCAACTGTTACAGTCTAGGGGCTATGCATATTTGCTTACAGCGAGGTGGCCGTGAGGTGCAGGAAAAGTGAGTTTTACTTACCTGAATCTGTCATGCGTGGCCGCAACCATGAGCCCACGTCAGTGTTGTACTCTGGAATATGCATGAGTACAGCACTGAGGTCCAAGAATAATCCTGCAAGACACTCCATAGACCATGCCCTTTTCCCTATGTCCGTAACAGATTGTGAAAATGACATGGGGGGGAGGGATCCTTAATGGCGGATGTCATGTGCAGGAAACCCTACTATAAGGGTTTTTTAAGCCCTGAATGCATGTCACCTCTCCGTCCACCTGGTTATAGATTTTTTTTTTTTTTTTTAAAGAAAAAATAAATAAACACCCCCCCCCCAAAAAAAACCCGCTGCATATACACTCCATGTATTGGGGGGCAGAGCAACAAAAACACAACACTGGATAGGAGGAGAGAACTTAGGAATCATTTCCTGAAGCCATGAAGGTATTTATCAGTTAATAGACATGTTAAATCCTCAGAAAATGTCAATCAGTTAAATACAATAATAATGATATCCGGTTTATTCACACTTTGCTGACAAGGCCACACCAGGTAATTTATCTAGACTTGTTTACACACACGCAAGCCTCGCAAAGCACGACCTTGCTAAATTGTGTGCATGGCTGTAACCCTGACGAACTGGTATTGCTAGAGAGGTGTGATTGCATTATGAGAGGTGAGCTGAAGAGTCGCAGCATCGCGTGTGAAGAGTGGAACATTCCGTGCTGCCTCATATCACTTTAACACTGGGAAATTTTGGCCCAGTTGTATAACTGGCCTCATTCCTGAGTTCTTATCTTGCACGCCTGGCGGCCAGGCTCTGTGATCTAGCAGTAGGAAGTGGTTATAATGAGACTTAAAGACACTGAGCAATGCTCTGAAATAAAAGCCTTTTAACACTATGTAACATTTCAGTACAGTCAATATAATCCATCGCCGTAGGCAGAGTTAAGCACACATCGTGAGGTCTTGGAAGATATTAAATAAAAGGTACAAGAAATCGGCTAACCCAGCTCCTACATGCATTTCCTGATCTGTACTGCTCAGCTTGTTGATAATGTTGGTTCTTTCACAGTAACAAGCAGGTTCAAGGTCTATGGTGGCCATTTTAGTACTTTCAATAGCTACCAGTTAAGATCACTGTTTAACTGCATTTACTTATCGCTCTGAACTGTGCAGTGTTTGATAAACCATTCAAACAACTGATTTATAGAGCTACGTTCTTACCTGGGGTATGCTGGGTGCTGTTTTCTTGCCTCAGTTACTTCTCATTGAGAGCCGGAAGCAGTATATCAGCTGGTAAGTGCAGTGGTGATGTCGCTGCCTCAGAACTGGCAGCCCACCTTACCAGCGAGTGTTGGTTCCATGAATTGCATACAAACTTTAATTGAATTGTACAAGGCAGCACAGCATATTGACTCTAAACAATAATTATCTCACTCTAACAGAACATATCTGGGATGATGTAGAACAGGAGGTTTACAGTAAAATGTGGACCAAAATTGCTTAAAATTGTTCCCAGCATCTTGTTGAATCCATGGTGCACATAGCTCTGCCTAAAGGAAGTTCCTACCTAGTATTAGCAGTGTCTAACTGATAAGGCACAGACTGTTTATTACATGTACGTACACAAACAACTCACCTGTTGGGTCCCCCAAGAAGTGTTAATGCCATCTGACTAGCACAAACGCCAGAAATTTCTAACCGTCTTTCAACAGACAGACCATGCTTCTCGGCCACACAGAGAAGTTTCTTGTGCAAGCTATACGAGATGCTGGGTACCACCAAGCCGGAATCTGCAAGACAAATAGGAAACCTACTCTGAACACATGGAACCAATAAATCAGCCATACTGCAGACATTGTGTGAGATTGGCAAGGATTCTTCGACTGAGACAGTGTTTGAAATTTCTGGGTAGTTCTGCACAACTGATTACATACTACGGTTATTATATTTAGAATTCAGGGTCACCAGGTACACCTCATTTTCCCAAACAGCACCCCCCCCCCAATATGCAGAACATGAAAATGCAACCCTGTATTAAAGAATACTAAGTCTGCATAAAGTAAGCCAACCGAGCAGCTTCTTTGTGAATCCTCCTTGATTAGTACATGGATGTCCCTCCTGCAGCACAGGAATACTACATATGGCATAACTTTTCATGTACTCCACATCAGCATGCAGAGGAGAGGCATTTCCAGGATACATTAGTGGGGCTGGCAATTGAGCCAGCATTAAAGTAATTCAGTCTATAAAGGAATGAACAGAGTGCCAGATCACAGAACAAGTAACCCTTGACACTTATTGCTATTTTTTAAAACCCAGTCTATAAAGCTTATGAGGAGGTTGGGTTACATAGGTTGTTACAGAATAACAGCAGAGGTAACGGGAGTTTTAGTTTGTTTAGCAGGAGAAAACCAGCTTTGTTTGGATCTATACCCGATTGCCATTTTAGAATGCAGTTTCTCACCAGTTTTATATTATATTGGTCAGGCTCAAGCCCTTAGACAGTACTAGCATTCTAAATAACATGGGACATATTGACCTTTGTTCAGTGTAACATCTCTAATAAGAGATAAAAAGAAAAATACATATCAGGAAGGTTATTTCCGCACTTTGCGAATTCTTCAGACTTCATAATGAGAAATCCTCAAAGACATTCGCTAAAAGATGATATTTGATGTGTGGCGCCATCTACCAAAGTTGACATTGTATATTAAAAATCAACACTGCAGAGCAGAAACAAGAAAATGTGGCAGCAGATCCCATCTTCAGGAATCGACACAAAGCACAGGACATACATCATATTCTGAAACCCATAACCTAACATACTCTATTTCCATGTAAAGCAAAGGAAGGGGAAAAAAAAAAAGTGCTAATGTGCATGCATACATTTCTTTATTTTTAGAAAGGTGTTGCTGGCCCAGATAATAAGCGCTTACAATCCGTAGATGCAGAATGCGGTTTGAGCAGATTACATGGGTCCCTTCTTTGGGTCACCGAGTGTGTCTTGTCACAGGTTACTCCTACAGGCTTGCGTGCAACAAAAAAGGAGAACATGTCTGACTACGGGTGACACCCCAGCCACGTGGAGAGCAGGGAGCAGAGTCTGTTGTTCTATAGCACGAAAGTCTGGCAGCTGCAATTAAAAGTTGGCATGAGAGCAACACGGAGCCCAGGCATCAAGCCAAGCATTTCACCTCAAACCGAGGCAGCTGGTAAACTTCTGGCACCACAACATTTCCTTCTCACGTTATGTACATGGAATTGAACCCATGCCAAGGTGCCTCCTTCCAGTGCCACTTTATCTGTAATACTTCTGGAGATTACCAGAAAGCCATGAAGGATAAGACCAGAGAGGAGTATGCCCTCGTGGATGTAGTTTACTGCACAGTGTGAAATGTGTGTCCCAAACAAAAATTTTTTTTAATTTCTGCCATTTCCAATTAATTAATTTACAATAACTACAACAATGTTAGAATATATCACAAAGCTTTTTCAGCTGTGTTTTTATATTTTCCATGGTCTAACAGGTCTGTTCTAAACTAGTTCAAGCAAGTCCGCTAATTTCAGAGCTCTACATTTCGAAAAGGCTCCCAAAACAGACAGATCTGATGTGGGTCTGGTGGCCACAGAGTGCAGGGATGGATGTATATCACTTACCTCAGGCTGTCCATCACAGGCACCACCCTCTACATGAAACTGTACTCTTTGGATCCTGGTGCTTCAGTTATCAGAAGCCACGTCAGTGTTGTACGCATGCGTGTAAATACAACACTAAAGTCTGTGGAGGAACCCACAAGATCCTCCAAAGACATTGCCAGAACCCGACAGCAGTCATTTGTGACTGCTGCTGGGATTGAACAAAAGTGGACTGCTTAGGTCCACAAAGAAGTCTCTAATTTTCTTTCATAAAGAATATATCAAGGGTTTCCACTAGTTATAGACTTTGGGTTTCAGCACACTAGCCCTCTATAGTGTGTTGAAAGGTGGCACAGAATACACTTAGATTCCTGTTACTCAGTCTGTTATGGTTCATCATTGGCCCCTTGGTGCAATATTTATGGAGCTTCAACACGATATGGCCAACTCAATATCTGATGACACTGGATCACACTTTCTTAGCAGATTTGAAAGTCTGCCTTCACTTGCATTGTGTCCCTCATTTTGACTTTTCCTGCCTCACTAGAGTCTTTTGGGAGGCAAATAGGATCACGTTGAGAGTTTATTGTAAATACATTTCATAGGTGTGCAGAGAGCAAGTTTGCCACTGTATGTGGAATGACAGATCTAGAGATAATATGAAATATATATATATATATATATTTTATTATTTATTTATTTATTTTTTTTTCACAAAAAATAAAGAGAACATGTAGCCAACCAAATACATGGCTTATTACGTTTCAATACACAAAAACACCATGTCACAGGATGTAACAAGTCCTACAGAAATTGAATGGATTACGATTTGTTGACTCCAGAGGCCAAGTTCTGAGGGCTGGCAGACAGAACTCTTTGCAGAGCATGAATGAGAGAGCTGCAGGATAGAAAGCTGCCTGACAGGTTACTCTACATGCACCTGCTCACCCCAGCTGTTCTCAAGTCACACGCAACCTTATTTAAAGGGGTGTTCATTCATTCCCAAGTCTCCTTTGGACAGCTAAACATTCTGCTTAACAACCTCCTGCCTGGGGGCAACATGTTTACCAATTGTACAATAAATGTTCTTAAAATTAACCTGTTGTTGTTTGTTTACTCCATGGTAAATAAGAGATAAAAGCCCAATTTCAAAATGTAGGCAAAAAAATGCAACACGTGCTATAGTCAGAGTATGGCCATTTTAGCCTGAATATTCCAGATTTAATTTTCAGTTTAGTTATGCAAAAAAGGAGAATACAATTCTAATCTATATATATGTGTATATGAAGAGTTATTTTAACCTTCTTGGTCTTTACTACTCTGCCACCCACCTAGTAGTAGAGACTCCTGTTTTAGAGGACTACAACGATCAAGCATTTACACCAAGAAATTATGGGATACAGATAAAGTCATTTGAGGACAGGACATCTGCATTCACACTTGTATAATCTACTCCAAGGCGAGATGGTGTGCGTGGAGTCAGAAAATGTCAGATGTCTGAAATATGGTATATAAAAAGTACATCTTTAAACCTATACACATGTGGGTGATATGATATCACCAGCACAATGTACCAATGCACTTATCACTATCTGAATGTAAACTCACAGAAGATAACCATTTCCAGGAGTCACGTTTTGTACAATTTATTTTAAAAATCAATTTTAAAAAAATCCCTACAGCTTCAATACTTTTTTTTTTAATTATTATTATAAAACACATCAGAACACAGTAAACTAGTAAACTTGTATATTGGATATTCCCAAAATCGGGGAACTTTTAGCATGATTACCTATTTATTAACCTACTGGTCATCTAGCACCAAGACAGGTCTGCTTCTAATAGGCTTTTTTTTTTATACTGATCACTTAGGTTTTTAAATGTGATCTGGGAACAAGATGACAAACAAAATGATGTCTGAAGGCTATAGTAAGTATTACGTAAGTGTAATAAATAAGTATCGCAGTGTCCCTCTTACACTTTGCGTGCCATGCAGCATTATCTCACTGGCACGCTCACCGTGTACTGGGAACTGAATTTCCAGGAACTGTGAGCAAGTTTAACTCTCTCACTCCCAGGAAAAACCAAAGGTGGGACCATATAAATGAATTATAAGTATGTGAAGGAGAGGGAAAAAAAATAAAAAATAATAGTGTAGGGGCAGAAACAGTGCTCTCACGCAACAAGAGAATTTAAAGCCAATATTTAGACTTCCTTTAATTACTGCTTAACATGTGTGCTAGTGCACAAGGCACACCTCCAAACTCACACACGCAATGCAGATTTGGTTCCACCACGCCTTCTATAAAGGGGAAAGGGTAAAACTATATAAGGGGGAAAGGGGGAGAGACACAAAAGCAGGTTAAATCACCCAAAGAGAAATCCAAGATTAACTGTGCTAAAGGGAATCAAGAGAAAAACAGGAGAGCTCAAGCACAGCTCATAGCTCTCCCTCTAGGATTTAATTGCAGCCAGAATGGATTGTGGATAGGAAATCGTGGGTTACGGCTGCTCAGGAAGCCAAGTAATTACAAGGAAAGAGGGAGGGAGGGCGGCGGGTTGTTTGCAAAGTTTTACTATGAGATTTTACAGCTGGCTGTGAAGCCAGGCAAGATATCAGTTAAGCAGCTTTCTTAACACGCAACATAAGATGCACGCTGAGCGATCGCTTACAGTGTGGTAAAAGGTGCACAGGTCAGTTGTAAAAAAAATAAACAAATACACTGTGCTACATTAACTCCTTAGTCACCTGAAATACTGAAGGGGGAGGGGGGGTGGAAGCATGAAACTGTTACCATAATAGAAGCAAAGACATGCAAACATTTCTACCTTTGAAAACCATGGGAACGATCTAAGTTTAGAGCATTTACACAAGACATGTATTTCCTTTGCAACATGGGTGGCCAACAAGCAGCCACACAGCAGGTATCAAAAACTGACTCCCAATTTGCGGTGTCACCTTCCCCAGATCACTACAATCCAAAAACCTGCAGATGGTCATGGAAGGTGTATATTAAGAGTCAAGTTCTATACTTTGTGCGAGGGGATTCAGAGATATGTCATGGTAACCAAAGTGTAAATAAGTGAGGAGGTAACAGGTTAGCTGAACAATGTCACATTTATTTGCTATTAATATATAAATACTACAGAAAGACAACCTACAAGTGGTGTAATTTTGTTCTTCCATAGAATCTCTTACCTGTACAATATTCCTTTCCACCAGGCTGAGGGACCAGAATCCTTCTGTATACAATAGGTTCCGACTCTATGATGTTCTCGTCATGCCTGTAAGTAGGAGGTCTTTCATTTGGAGTTCCTCTTGACTTTGCTACACCACCTCCTGCACTCCCACCTTTCTTTTCACGTGTGTCTATTTCCTCAAAGATGGCCGCCTTGTCGAAAAGAGCTAAATTGCCTTCAAAGTCAAAGTCTGTGTCTGGAATCTCTTCTAGTTCATCTCCAAAGCATTCATCATCTCGAGCCTTTAGCTGCCCATTCTTTGGGCCAGTCTTCTTTGGGGTGACCTGATTGGGGTAACGACTGCTGGAAGACCCTGGACGATTGGAGGAAAAAAAAAAAAAAAACATTAATAGGTAGGGTAAGATTTTGTATCATTCTGTACTTCAGAAATTGTTCACTTACAAAGCTAGAAATCATAACTATAACCAGCCTAACAGCAGAAGCAACAAAGGTTATAAGAAGCAGAACCCAACTTAAACTATTGCAATTTCTATATTTGACTTGCTAAGCCAACCTTACCCCTCCCAATCTCCATCTGTCCAGAGAGGGTACTTGAAATCTCGCTTTCCAATCTGCAGCCAGTGCTCTGCAGGTATCGTAATGACTGCACGGCCAACTGGATGCTGGCTGATTATAGAAGAAGGATAGAAGTAAAAACAGAGGTCTTAATGTAATGCTGCAGTAATAGAATGCTACTTCAAATTGAGAAAGGGGAATGGGGGGGGTGGAGGGAGGTAAAACGTTTTAATATTTACAGCATTTTTAGGGACCAATTTTCTTGATTTTAAGATTAACTGCAATAAAGCCGGTAAGGCAACATTCCTAATAGCAAACACATATTGGATGCTAAATTTGATAGTATTTTATCCAGCGCATATCATAGTACATGCACTGATTGGGGATTTCTGCACGCGTTAACAACACATCTCATACATAAACAGGATAATCTATTCAAACACTTCCAGCAAACCAGAGTGATCAAGCCAAGCCCATGCTGTCCAACGAGACTTGCTGATCAGAAAATATGTGGTGCTACGTGATGGGAGAGCGGGATTTGAAAAGAAAATGTAAAATGCTAGCAGTAAATGTTGCTAAAGGGTATCTACTATAAAGGAAATCTGTTACTAGTGGGGCTTTGTTAAGAAACACTGCTCTGGGTAAACAAATCCTGGTGAGCTCATACTGTAAACTCCATCACATGGGGACCATGTAGTCTTATGTAAACTGGCACCTAAACAAAACAATTCTACACTAAACTAGGCAGCATTTAAAACATACACTGAAGTGTTTTCTTTACACTTAATCCAGCACATCCTCATTAGTGTCAATAAAATCTCATAATGGCAGGAAGCCAGGATCCTTGCTCGAGCAATAACTAGTTGAATACCAGGTAGTACAATAGCAAGAAGAAACCAAACAGGTAAAGTCATCTCATCTTGTTTGTGGAAATTAGAAAAGGCATAAGGGGGAGGGTGGGGCATGAATTTCAAGAATCAAACACGGAAAAATATAAACAATTGCTTAATGGTGCAGCTCTTAAAGTACCAGTAACAGAATTCAAGGGGAAAAAGAAGAGCTAATAAAATCAAATTGCTTGCACAGAAGTCTGACCAGGCGAGATTTTCTATTGGGAAACCAAAAAACAAAGCTGGCTACTTAAGTATATTCCAATTGAATATGACCAGAAGCCCTCCCCCCACCCCTTTAAAGTATTATAAAGCATTTTGAATAAAAGTGCTATATTGTCAATCTATTGTTCAAGCTGTTGATAAATTCAGGAAGGAATTTCAGAAGATAAGAAAAATATAAATAGATTAGAAAACAAAAACGATACAGAACACACCAATTTGTGCCAACACTTTTAGAAAAAAAAAATTGCAAGACATTCAAAGGAGCAGGAAGGACAAAGCACGTAGAAGACTGAACAGATAAAATACAACTGTAGTAAGCTCTATATAACCTTATTTGATGTATTTGAGAGCGCTTCATAAAGTGTGTGTTTATTGGCACTGTATAAAAGCATAGAGTTTTACTAATATTTTTGATGTTTAGTAATTAGACCTATGCTTTTGAAAATATCTTCAACATCACTATAAAAAACAATCCAGCAGATGAGCAATGAGCGGTCCATTTGCCCAAACCAAGTAGTGGAGATCAACTAGCCAGCCATTCCTAGATATCCCTTTGTTCTCGGTGGGTGTGGCCCTCCACCAGAGGCTAGTATGATCAGAGGTTTAATGGCCACGAGACAAGATGGATGAAATGGTTGCCCATAGATGTTGTACTGCAGCTAATACAAGCTTACTGCCTAGCTGTGAAAGACCGTAGCAGAGGTCTGAAACTCCTTATACCAAGAGCTATGCACGGATCAAAGGTTGTTATAGTTCTTTTAAAGAACCCTGGAGTGCAGCCTCATACTGGAAAAACCCTTGAATAAATCTAAATGGGTTACTGCTGCACTTCTAAATAGTAACGTGCATGTACCTACCATCTGCTGTGTGATCGCTTTACTAGTTTTCTCTTTAATTGAAGGAAGGATGGTGGGAAGCAATGTGCACAGGTAAGTCTCCAATATAGGCTTGTTCTACATGCTTGCAGATATCTGCATAGCTGTACTTTTCTCAGTACCTCTTAGCATGTATTTGTGCATTTACTGTTAAGACAGCAGTCAGAGCCAGACACCTTGCAATTGTCCTCTATAGCTAGGAATACTATATTAAATGGCTGCAAGGAAGTTCTTCTTTACTCCTGGATCTTAAGTCCTAAGGCCAATACTCTACCTTTTCCCATTTTTGACCCATTTGTTAGGCGGTGTTCCTAGCTACCCTGTATGATGAAATCTTTGACAGAAGTTGCAGATTCTCATGAAATTAAATATTTCACATCTGAAATAACCTTTTAATGGTCACCCCTCATTTTGTCAAATACAGGATTTTCTCCCCTGCGTTGACACTCCATTAGATACAAGCCCACTTGTAATGTTAATGAAAACCAGCAAGTACAGCTTCAGGCGCTAATAACCAATACACAGGGCACAGAACTATAACCAGGTATCCAAAGATGGCCCTCTGGCTAAAGATATGGGAGCAGATATCTTTGATAAGCAATTTTCTTTTCCTTCCAGAGCATAATATCTGAGCAAGCAACTGGATGAGACCGTGATGACAATGGTAGAAGCAAATGGACACACACACGGAGAGTGTTTTTCCCTGATATCAGACATGCAATTGAGGTAGAATGCCTCCTATCCATTCAAGGGGCACATGAAAGCCTTAACTGCAGCCATAGCAGGGTCTTTGTATAGTACAAGCTACAGCAAAATTGACCATAGAAACATATAGAAAACACACAAACGTAATTTCATTTCCGTGCAACAAAAATCTATAACAGAGGCAGCCGAAACATTTTTTTTTCTTAATTAAATTACAGCGTGCCTGCGGCAGAAATACAAGCAGTTTAAATCCCCCATACAGGGAAGAATTCCCACCTCCTAGAGGCAGAACTGCAGCAACACATCTCCGTGATAATGTGACTGAGCTGGGAGGCAGCACACGCTTTGAGACATGAACTTGCTTTACCCACAGGCAAAACAATCTAATCTAATTCTGTGTGTGTTCCAGAAAACTAAGCAGCATGTTCTCAGCAGGAAACGGCCTTCAATGAAACACTGAAGAGAAAGGGGAAAAAAAAACAAAAAACAAATTCAGACAGAAACAATCATTGAACAATCCTGCCTAACCGCTACCCCAAACAAAAACAAAGAGAAAAAAAAATGCCCTGCCTCCGTGTCTCCTTTCTTATTCTATGCGTGCAAGCAAGAGTTCCGTGGTGAGAAAGGGTGTTGGTTTGTATAAAGCATACAGTAGCCAAACAGACCTGCCCTGGAAGTCATTCTACTGCACACAGAACAGGTTAGAAGAAATGGCTCTAAAGCATTGTTCGGTAGCACAGAACAATAATTAAGGACCATCACACGGTATTATTCTAAGCCAAGCTAAGATCTCTTTAAAAACTCTGCCAGACACCATTGGTATTTAAAAAAAAAAAAAAAAAAAACAGTTCTTAATATATCACCATCACCTAGATCTTGATCAATAATAGACATATTTACATAAATCATTACTCACTGCACACTCCGCATAATTCTCCATTTTAAATTGAAATCTGTGATCTGTAATGCACATTGCAGGAGTCTCAAGTTAAAATGTACTCTTAGTGAAGGCCACTTCCCTGCACTGCAAGCACTAAGCACCTGAGTCACTTCACTTCTGGCATGCTAATGAATGTTTGAACTTTACTGATCAGGCTGGCAGGAGCACACTGCGCAGGCAAGTGCCATTTACCCAACAAGCCAGGCTTCACAACCACAGCAAATTGTGATCACGGACCTGATGCAGACAAGCCACTAGCATTACAGAAGACAGACAGAAGTATATCCAGGACTTTGAGACCCTTGTCCGAACGCAATATAATCATTTAACATACGCTATTATATTAGGAGGTGCTATGTTAATACTCATCGCCTCTCCAGCATTGCGGTTGATGCCTCCTGCACATCCCCATCTAGATTGGCCAAAAATCTAATGGCAAAGCAGGACAATTAGCCGCCCGCCCTTTCTCCCCCAATGACCATGCATAAGAACAGTAACATTTCTATTTAATTTTGTACTTGTCTAGTAAGACCTGCTCAAAGGAGTAATCACAGCAACTACAGTACATATTGCTTGTACAAGGGTTCTCTTTCCCATCACGCAGTCTTTAGCAAAGAGAGTGTTACTGTTTGCATATGAGAAGATCATATGCATCAAAACACATTTGCTAGCACAATGTAGTAATGCACCACAAGTACCATAGCAGGTAAATCTTCATATACCGGTTGTTTTGGTGCAAAGATCCTTTCCTTTTTATTGGACATCTGAAGTATTGTAGAAAAGGAAATGTTTACATTTGTCTGAAAAAAAACACAATTTTTCTCTTTACACCCTTCAAATATTCAAAAGGTATTCAAGTGCAAAATGAGGTATGGCATCAAACATGGCTACTGCTGTGCATACACCACAGGTCCTCGATGCTTCTCCATAAAAGGCATCTGTGTGGACCAGTGATCAGTTGGTAAAGATATTTAATTTTCGACAGATTCTTTAAATTTATAAAATTACAGTTAATTTCACACAGAGATCAATACACTTAATGGGGAACAGTAAGTCTCTGGAATTTACACCATTGAACATTGAAAACTCACTATAATTTGTATTAACTTTTTCTCCCCCATGAGATTCTCACTTTTCTTTTGAATTTACATTATAGATTTAGCAAAAATGACAATCCAGGGAATATATTGCACATGAAGGTAAATAAACATGGTTTAATTTTGCCTCTTCACATTATATGTGTTCTATGCGGACCACCAGGTACACGAGAACAGTACTCTCAAAAAGGACTGCCAGGGAGCTACCATGGTGGCGTTCAGGTGCAGGATAAAGAGGTGTGGATTTTTACATTTAAATAGTTTTTTTTACAGTAAAATACATAAAGTATTTGAAGTATACAGATATTATTAGAAGAGGCGTTTTGAGAATTCTGATCAGCATTTTGTGAAAATACATGTTGTCCATTACATGTTATCCTGAACTGGATAAGTGCAAAATGTTCCCAACAACAAAATGATGCTGCGGTGTACTGTCTTCTCGCGTTTCACAAATTTCTGCACCCCCCGCCTTTATCTTTCAGATGTAGAGACTTTCTTCATTCAAAAATGAATAACCAAGAATATAATCTATTGTTTGGTGGTTTAACTTCAGCCAACTGCACATATGGTTTCCAGTGTAATCACCCACAATTTCAGTTAAATTATTTCAAAGATTTCTAAATTGCTGGACTGTCAAGGGTCTCTAAAGGGGCTCCTTTAAACAGTGTGAAAGTATGTGTGAGAAAAAAATAAATACAAATAAAATCTATTCGCAGAGTACCAACATAATTATAAGCATATGCCCAGATCAAGAGAAAAAGATTTACTTTTTTTTTTATATATGCTTTGCTCCACAATGTCAAATGTAAATTACTCACAGACGTGCGTAAAAAAAAAAAAAAATGTAAAAAAGTTGAAAGACTGTAGTCAGCATCTTTTTAGAATGTAGATCTACAAGTGACCAAATACAGAGAAGCAGTCGCTGAGACAGGACTCCGTGTACATATATCAATGTCTTGTCATAAATGAGTTACAACGAATATTGCTCTTTAGATACAGGCGTATCAATTGAGGGAAAAACAAACAAACAAAAACACACACACACACTATATCAGTAATATATGTCAGTAAAGTGCTATTGTGAGGCTTCAATCATGCACAGTTATAACAAGGAAAGATAAGACAGCACAGCAGGGACTACACTCCAATTTGATCCATTTTGCCTGAAATCAGTAGAAAGAGCCATGTAAGTCTTCATTAACAAATCGTCCTAATATCAAAATACTGACTATTCACCAACAAGAATTGTCTTGTTGGCTACATTGGATAAACGATGTTGGGGTGAACCTTCTGCAGGGATAAGCCTTACCTTCAGTAATTAGGAAGGAAAACTATTTTCCAAATACCATTCTGAACAAAACCATCAAGATTAAGAAGGTACTCACACGAGTTGTGCCTGCGGCGAAAGTTTTTCGGTTGCCCAATGCCATCAGTGTGCTTATCCACATGGCTCTTTGAGCAGGGCTGCGGGGAGGTTCCGGCAGGTTCATTGCCCTTTGCATCTGCTCTTCGTGGGATACCCTGGGATGTGCCCACTGTCGTGGAGGATTTCTGCTTGCTCATGCCATTCTGTTGACTGGTAGATACACAGCTGGAGCCTGAAGGATCGTCAGGGAGCTGGTGGTTTGTGCGAGGACTATCCACAGGGATCTCCAGAATTTTTAAATCCACTATGTCTCCCGCTCTAGTCAGGTTTCAAAAATATTAAGATAAATCATGAGAAATACAAAAAAAAAAAACCAAGAAAACAGAATTCCAAATGCGGTTTTACAACAATGTTAAAAAAAAAAAAAAAAATATATTGTATACATACACACTGCTCAAAATTTTCATTCAAGTAGAAATTCACCACTGATGAGTGTGCTATATACCCTCCAAGCTTGCGATGGTGAGTAATTAAGACCCCCGAGTACTGCAGGGATTTAAAGATCGATATAAAGAGATATATACAGTTGTAATCAAAATGATTCAACCTCCATTTAAAAATCAGGTTTATGGTCAAAATGTACAGACCTTCAGCTGTTTGTAGTGAATAAAATCAAACAAAAACAATATAAATAGCTCAACACTAAGCGCTACAGAATCTGTTGGCGCTATATAAATGGCAATAACGACACAAATGCAACCTATTTATTTATTTATAAGAGATTTTACCAGGATGTATACATTTAGATTTCTCTCGTTTTCAAGAATGTCCTGTGTCCACAAAACATTGCATTGATACAATGGGGTGCAATAAAATACAAAATACACAAAATAGGCAAAATTTAACATAGAACAGGTAGGAAATATATAATCAACCATGACAGGTGCATTCTGTTTTGAGATATGTAGAGATGGATCTCTTAAAAGGATTTTAGGCTTGGGGAAGATTTTAACGTGTGCAGGAAGTTGTTCCATAATTGCGGTGCTCTGTAGGAAAAGGAGGATCGGGCCGCTTTCTTTTTGTATTGAGGTAGACTAAATAAGTGCTGGTACTGGATCGGAGGTTATAGGGAGGTGGGAACAGCCGGGGAGAGCATTCTGCTCAGGTAGGGAGGGAGCTTCCCAGAGAAGCTCTTAAACGCAAGGCTGGAAAGATGAAGGGTGCGTCTGGATTCCAGCGACAGCCAGTTCAATTCTTTTAGCATGTCACAATGGTTGGTCCTGTAATTACATTGTAACACAAATCGACAGAACGAGTTATACAGTGTGTTGAGTTTATTAAGGTGGGTTTGCGGTGCAGGTGCATATACTACATCCCCATAATCAATGATTGGCATCAGCATTTGCTGTACAATCTTTTCCTTAACTGCAGGGCTTAGGCAGGATTTGTTTCTTTAAAGGGCACCTAGTTTTGGGTAAAGTTTAGATGCAAGTTTTTCTATGTGGAGGCCAAAAGATAGATTGGGGTCTAACAACATACCCAAGTATTTTAAAAAGTGGACTGCGGTCAGTGTGCCATTTGATTTTGTTCTGTTATGACTTCAAGTCTCAAAATGATTCAACCCCCTTAAAATAATCCCTTACAACAGCACAAATATGCAAAATAGACATTGTCTTATGCACACCTGATGCAACTAATCAAGGGCTTCATTAGTTGCACCAGGTGTGCTTGAGCTGGAACACTTGAAATACCTAAACTGCCTAGGGGCTTGTTGAGAGTCATGTTTGACTGCATGTTAGAATTATGGCCAACTCAAAAGAATGGTCCACAGAGTTAAGCTCTTCTCCCTTAAAGGACCACTATAGTGCCAGGAAAACACACTCGTTTTCCTGGCACTATAGTGCCCTGAGGGTGCCCCCACCCTCAGGGACCCACTCCCGCCCGGCTCTGGGGAGAGGAAAGGGTTAAAACTTACCTTTTTTTCCAGCGCCGGGCGGGGGCTCTCCTCCTCCGATCTCCTTCCGGCTGAATGCGCGCGCGGCAAGAGCTGCGCGCACATTCAGCCAGTCTCATAGGAAAGCATTTACAATGCTTTCCTATGGACGCTGGCGTCTTCTCTGTGATTTTCACAGTGAGAAACACATAGCGCCTCTAACGCTGTCAATGAGACAGCCACTAGAGGATTTGAGGCTGGATTAACATTTATAAACATAGCAGTTTTTATTAAAAAAAAAAGGGGGGCGGGGTTAATCCTAATGGGACCTGGCACCCAGACCACTTCATTAAGCTGAAGTGGTCTGGGTGCCTAGAGTGGTCCTTTAAAAAACCGTTGGAAGCATAGTTCACAAGTTCAAATTTGAAGGAACAGTGGTTATACTACCTGAATGAGGAAGAAAAATTAAGCCATTAATTGCTGCAACCAGATTTCTGACAAGGCTTGGTTGCACAAGTAGTCCTGGAAGATTCTACAGAGGCCAGTCACCGGACTTGAATCCCATAGAAAATCTCTAGTGCGATTTGAAGAAGTCGATTGCAGCATGCAAACTCAAGATTACTGAACTGGAGGCCATTGCTCATGGTCAATGAGCCAAAATTCCTAAGTAATCATGCATCTTATTTGCAGCAGGTCATAACAGCAAACGGGTGCACCATTAAGTACTAAAAATGCCAGTCATCATAAGTTGCATTTTCAGTTGAATTTGGGGAAACCACTTGAAGCATTCATTGTATTGAGCTATGTTATTTGCTTTTGTTTGATGTGTTCATTGCAAACAGCTGAAAGTCTAAATTCTGACAAACCTGATTTTCAATGGGGTCGAATAATTTTGAATATATATATATATATATATATATATATATATATCTCTGAAAGATGTCTGCACTCATGGAAATACAGGTATTTTATGCCTTGTGCTGTAACATGCAGTAAATCCACACAAACGTACAAGAATGGTCAGCACTCAGAGGACTTGTTTCTGTTAAAACTTAGCTTTTATTGCAGTCAATTTGTCGGTTTAAAAAAACCCAAACATTTTAACAGAAAGCAAGTCCTCTAAGTGTTGACCATCTTGGAAATTATTATTATACATATAGTGTTTAAGCAGAGATTGTAGCCGTATTAGTCCAGTGATGCAGATGTAAAGACAGAAAAAATTTGTATCTTGTAATACCTTTTTTTATTTGACTAACAGAATTTTTAATGACGAGCTTTCGGGAGAACCTCCCTTTCTCAAGTCTGAAGCACATAGAATTCAAAGTGGAGTTGTGATACAGGGGTTAAAGCAACATAAGTGCAGATAAGACACAGGTTGGATAGAAAATAGACCAATATTCTTGCAGAGGGTCATAAATATATCTTTCTGAAGATCAGAGTGAGGGCGGAGAGGGAGAAGAAAAAAAAAAAAAAACAAGCAGAGAGTGCAGAAGATGGTACACCTTTATATGTATATGCGTATCACAACTCAATTTAGAATTCTATGTGTCGTCTTGCTCAGAAATGCTTCAAACTTGAGAGAGAGAAATTCTCCGGAAAGTGTGTCATTAAAAATTCTGTTAGTCCAATAAAAAAGGTATTACAAGAAACGAATGTTCTGTTTTTAAGAGTATATATATATTTTCAAGATGGTCAGCACTTCGAGAACTTGCTTTCTGTTAAAATGTTTTTAACAAAACACCAGTCAAGCCATAGGACTTTCTTTTCCCACAGAAATCACAAATTTGCAGTGATATTACTACTGCAAAGGATTCTGGGTGGGCAAATGCAAATTAGTTTAACAAAGAATCACATTTTCCTTTGAGTCTGTTTGCTGTATACAACAGCTTTGAAACACAACTTAAAAACTTAAGAAAAGATCCAAAGCCAGTGAACCGCTGTTTCATTGTTAATGCAAATGAGGTTGGTTACTGGTTTGCTACTGAGGCTTGGTAGTGCTTGGGAAGCAAAAACCAAAAAGGTGGAATGGATATTGAAAACCCCTTCCACCTGAAGTCTGTGGGAAAAGCATGTCTTATGGCTTACCTGGTGTGCAGATCTTTGTTTAAAGGACCACTATATGCACCCAGACCATTTCAGCTTAATGAAGTGGTCTGGGTGCCTGGTCCATCTAGGATTAACCCTTTTTTCTATAAACATAGCAGTTTCAGAGAAACTGCTATGTTTACAAATGGGTTAATCCAGCCTCTAATGGCTGTCTCATTGACAGCCGCTAGAGGCGCTTCCGCGCTTCTCACTATGAAAATCACAGTGAGAAGACGCCAGCGTCCATAGGAAAGCATTGTGAATGCCTTCCTATGAGACTGGCTGAATGCACGTGCTGCTCTTGCCGCGCATGCAGCCGAGGAGGAGAGGAGGCGGTGAGTCCCCCGCCCGGCGCTGGAGAAAGAGGTAAGTTTAACCCCTTCCTCCCCCTAGATCCCGGGGGCACCCTCAGGGCACTATAGTGGTCCTTTAACATTGTATTAACTATCCACAGACTTCAGGGGATTTCAATCACAATTTTTCCCCACCATAAACTTTTGGTTTTTGAAGAAAAAAATTAAATAAAAAAATAACACACACACACACACGATTGTGATTCCTAATGAACCAGACAGAGACCATTTAAAGGCTCAGAAACCCTTTGCAGGTGTTATGGCTTACTTAGCTGATTAGAGTGGGACACTGTGAGCCTAGAATATTGCACCTTTTCACAATATTCTAACTTACTGAGATTGTGGATTTGGGGTTTTCATGAACTGTAAGCCATAATCATCGCACTTATGACAAATCACGGCTTGAACTATCTTGCTTTGCATGTAATGCGTCCATCTCATATTCGTTTCCCCTTTTACGTTGCATTACTGAAATAAAATGAACTTTTGCACGATATTCTATTTTTTCGAGTATCACCTCTACACACACACAAACACACACACATTTTTTCCTAAAATGTTAATATATGCAAAGGATAGATAACATAGCATTGAAAACTGCAATATTAGTCTATGAACAGAATTTGGCAATAAAGCCATATTTCAAATAAATGTCTGAGCCAATTAACAAAATACATTTTATTGAAGATTACAAATGTGCACGTCAACAAAATTATTTAAAAAAAAAACAAAAAAAAAAAACACTATGGACTGCACCAGATAGACAGTAGTCCATATTAGATTTGAATACAGGTACATGGTGGGATCTGTAAATCAACTAGTAATTTAACAGGTCTTCGTAGAAAATTCCAATAATTGTGGGCAGGTTGAACGCAGCATAATACACTAACCTGAAAGTGACCTCTGGCACCAAGCACTTGACGCCATTGTGGAAAGGCTGGGTGAGAGAGATGGTTTGATTAAGTTGATCAACAGCAGACACACGGCCTTGATACACCCCCAAGGTGTTTCCACAGTTAATGGATACGATGCTCCCAAGCCAATCAGCAGCCATATTTAAATTACCAACTGATACAGCTGAAAAAAAAAAAGGTCTCTGCAAATTACACTTTAGCAGCATGTACGTATAAACTTATGTACTTTACAAATTTGCAATAGTAAATGGATACAAAAATAAAAAAACACAGCCCCAGCATTACAATAGTTTTCTAATTACATACTAACCAGACTAAGCTTTAATATAGCAAAGGAAAGTATTGTATACTGGAATAGTACATGTTCATCCTAGTTTAAGCATCTGTTCTATAGAACCTAAAATGCAAATAGTGACTTCCCAGGATATTTTAGACTATTTATTCCATCTTAAAACTTATACAAATGGGAGGAAAAAATAGTTTTGCTTAAAAACCAACAACTTCTACACAACTAGTGCAACTAAAGAAATAAATTACTCAAAATTCAAATTGTGGAAATGTCTCATACACGGCTGTCCATACGATCACCTGCCTTGTGAGATCGCCATACAATTATTTCTGTGATGCCTCATTAGTGAGGTACTCAAAAATAGCAATCCAGTCACAAACCGCAGTATCACTGAGCCATTAGTGGTATTCAGCCTGTCAAGTACTCAACTGACAGTTCTATACCACATTCAACGTTCATAGGAAAGGGATGTTTGCTTACCCATATATTGAAGACATTTGCATATGTGGAGATGTAAAAGATAAAATATAGATATCCATACCGCTTTATGCTGCAACTGGGGGTCTCCATCTTAGCTTCTAATTATTGTTACAGACTCAATACTTTGCCACTATAAGATGTGCTATAATGATTTTCATACTAAAATTTTGTAGCATTTTCTGTTTGTGCCAATATTTTTCTTTGCCGTGCAAAGCATTATAAATAATGTGGAAAATGCAGCAGAAACCTCAGTGTTTCTATTTCGATTCTACATTTGCATAGTTTGCCCTCGTGTTGCCTTGTCTGAACTGAATTTTGATGTAATTTGCCAAATACTTCAAAAATGTATTAAAAATAATGCAATAGTGTAAATGGCAAAAGTAACCATTGCTCTTTAGCATTCTGGAATCGGACACTAGTAGAGTATTTAGATATCAGTCATATTTCAAACCCATCACCAACAAACCTGGATATTTTACACATTTTTAAATAGAAAAGCTGTTCTCAATATCCAAGAACAAACTGAATTCACAGTGTTAAAAAGAGTTTTTAAAAGTGCCTTAAAACCCATCTCTTCTATGGGTCCCCAAAACACAGAGACCCATCTTGAGAACTACCTGCCCAGCCATTTTAAACTCCATACAAATATGGGATCAGACCAAGAGTAAATATGTACTAGGGAACGACCCCTCACCTCTAACACCAGTGCTCAGAAACTGGGCCTTCTCTCCGGAACTTAGAGTTAGGGACTTCAGGGTATAGAAGCCACAGGGCTACAAAGGTACATCCATCTGTACGTAAACAATGACGTAGTCACTATTAATCACTTAAAAACTAAAGCAATACTCCAAACTAGGGACTACTTTCGATACTTGCAGACCAGAGACTTCGCCCATACACCAGAAGTCCGAGCAGCAGCTAAACAAAAGTTAACCTTCTTTGAAAAGCTCTGCTACGAGGAAACTACTCATAACGCTCTTATACCAACACATTAGTTCAGAGTCAAGGATATGGGGAACCCAACAGGTACACTGATAAATGGGAAGCCGACCTGGGGGAGGTCCTGAAGGGAATAGACTGGCAGGAAATATGGGAGGCATGCACCAGGGTGACAATGTGTGCCACGCTACAAGACACTCTTTAGGTGGTACATGACACCAGTGAAACAATACCACATTAGGATGAGTATCACAGACACATGTTGGCACCTGTGTGGCAACAAAGGCAGCTATATACATATGTGGTGGCAGTGCCCAAACATAAAAACCTAATGGGAAAAAGTGGTGACCCTTAGTTCACGGGTTTTGCAGAGAAAGCTGACACTAGACCCATGGGGGTGTCTATTATTCAGACCCACGGAAGGACTCAACCGACATGAGCAGAAACTACTCAATATGATCTACTTGGCAGCACGAAGAGCACGGTCACAGAAATGGGCTAAAACAATAATAAAAGGCTGCGCCAATAAGAGAGTAAAATAGAGTGACTAAGAAAAAATGTCCAACGTAATAAATAAAAATAAAAATAGAAATAAAAGTTCAACTTAAGTGTCCTTGCGGATAGTCTTTATAGTAAGTATTGCAGCAGTGAAGTCTTCATAAGCTGTATAGGTTCCACTCATATAAAAGACAAAAGGGGAGAGAGAAGGACGACCAGTAGTGCAATATTGTATAATTCCAAAAGTGACGTATGGAAAAATAATATTAAAGAACTCACATTTAATAGAGCTTATGTCCAGCTCTAGGATAGAAGCGCATACAGCGGTATAATCCCCGCTTTTGGGATATGCTGTGGGTTACTCTCCGTCAGTGGTGTCCAATTCTCAAACAAGGAAAGAGAGAGACAACCAATAGTGCTCACTATTTTAGTAGTCTTATTATAAGTAGATGAAAACGTACTTACAAATGAGGAGCAGACCAACTGCTCTTGTGTATCAGCATAGGTGGATTAATCCCCACCTTTAGGATTTCTTGGAGTGCAGGAGACTTCCGAAGTCAGTATTGGTATATAATAGTAAAATGCTAAAAATATACTAAAATATACTAAAAAGCCAGGTATAAAAAGAGTAATGTGTATATAAAACTATAAAAAAAGAATAGTTGGCACAAATTACCAAAAATTGCTTTAATATTACAATACACAATATAAAATATCCATAACGCGTTTCGTCAACAGACTTTGTCAAATGGAATAGCAAACATTACCTGGCTAGTTGTATTATATAGGAGTTTAAATTTGGCGCCAAAAATGGTCCATCCAATCAAACTTAAGTTACATTTGGCAGTATAAAAACTTTAAAATACAGCAATAAAACCAAAATATAGGGTCTAAGAACACTCATAATTGACTTTAATAACCAAAACGAAGTTTTTAAAAGCATAAATTAAGTGATTAAAAATGCGCACGTGACGCGCGGCACTTCCGGTTTTCGGACTATATGCCGCTATGCTTTATGGGAAATGTAGTCAATAAGCCGCGAATGGCGGCTAGGAGTATAATATAGGCGCTGCCACATATTGGGGGACATAGAAACGAAAGCCCACATAGAGGGCAAAATCTGAAATGCATTAGACACTCTGCTAGTAAAAATAAAAGTATTGGAAGCATAAATTAAGCAAACGAAATTAAGCACGTGACTTGCGGCACTTCCGGTATTCGGACAAAATGCCGCTATGCTTAATGGGAAATGTAGTCGGCTGAAGATAAGCTCGTTCAAATTAAAGGGACATGAAGACAAAAGTTCCCAAAAAGGGAGCTATATATCAAAAAAGAGAGGCAAAATAAAAGGGACATATAATTAATGGGGCCATATACTAAAGGGGCACATATATATAAAATATAAATAAAATAAATTAAGAAATAATAAAACAATATTTTAAATACAGAAAATAATAAATAAAAAATACAGTTGAGCAAAGTAAAAGGCATAGGTGTAAAACAGACATGTAAAATACTTTTGTATTACAAAAAATTATATAGGTCAAAGTCTGCATTGAGGCCATGGGGTATAAGGGTCTTAAGGTTATACACCCATTCCATTTCTATTTTCCCAAGTAGTTTTTTTATGTCTCCTCCTCGCCAGGGGGTAGAACATTTTTTTATACCAATACATTTTAGAAGTTTAGGATCTTTGTTATGCATAATAAAATGTTTGGATACTGTATGATTTAAGTATCCATTTTTGATATTCCTACAATGTTTGCTCAATCTTATTTTTAAGCACCTTGTGGTCATCCCCACATATTGGAGACCACATGGGCATTCGAGCAAATAAATAACATTTTTAGTGTTGCAGCCGATAAAATCATAAATATTATACATTTTTTTTAGTCTTATTGGACATAAACTGAGTAATTTTAGATGGGGTAGATGGATCCGTGGTTCTACACACTATACATTGTTTGCATTTATAAAAGCCTTTTGTTTGTGGGAAGAAGGAGAAACCCCTAACTGGCGATTCTCGAGTAAAATTGGTGGTTAAAATGGATTTAAAATTTGGTGCCCCTCTAAACACGATATTTGGCTGGTTGGGTAAAATTGAGTTTAAAATATCGTCTTCTTTAAGTATATGCCAATGTTTTTTTATAATTTTTTTGACATTATTACTTTTGCTATTGAAGTTAAAAATAATAGGAAGAGATATAGATTCATCCTTTTCTTTATTCTTATAAATCAGAAGATCTTTTCGTTCTTTTTGTTTAACTGTATTAATTGTGTTATTAAGCTCTGATTCTAAATATCTTTTTTCCATAAATTTATTTTTTAGGATATTAGCTTGTTCATTAAAATCTGTTATTTCTGAACAGTTCCTACGAAGACGTAGGAACTGGCTCTTTGGAGCACTCTCAAGCCAAGGCTTGTAGTGACAACTAGTTTTGTCGATGGCTGTATTAACACACACCTTTTTTAAAAAAGGTTTTGTGTGGAGTTGGCCTTCTTTAATAAAAATATTAAGGTCCAAAAAATTAATAGATTCTTTGCTATATTCATGTGTTAAAATAATGCCCCTATCATTAGTATTAAGATAATTTATAAAAACAATTAGGTCTTCTTCTGGTCCTTCCCAAATAAAAAAAAGATCATCTATGTATCTAAAATATGAGACCAGGTTTGCCCGCCAAGCATGGTTGCCCCAGATAGCTTCGGATTCCCAGTCTGCCATGAACAGATTAGCGTAGCTTGGGGCAAACCTAGTACCCATAGCAGTGCCCCTCTTTTGAAGATAAAATGAATCTAAAAACCAGAAGTAATTATTTTTTAAAATTATATTAATACCTTCTATTATAAAATCGATCTGGATGGAAGGAATATTGTCTTCTAGAGTAAGGGTCCTTTTTATGGCCTGACATCCAATATCATGCGGGATGATTGTGTAAAGTGACTGAACGTCACAGGTAACTAATATAAAATTGGGTTTCCAGCTAAATTTATTTAAAAAATTTAAAAGTGACATTGAGTCTTTCAAGTAAGATTTCATTAATTTTACTGAAGGCTGGAGAAGGGTATCGATCTATTGAGAAAGGTTACATAAAAGAGACCCTATTCCTGAGACAATAGGTCTTCCTGGGGGTTGCTTTTCATCTTTATGGATTTTGGGAAGGAAATAAATAACAGGAGTAATAGGAAATTCTTTGTTTAAAAAATTAAATTCTTGTTTGTTTAAAATGTTTAGATTAGACCCTTTATTTAAAAAAGTAGATAGTGTAATTTGGATATTATTTGTAGGATCAGATGGGAGTTTTTCGTATACATTTTTATCATCTAGTTGTCTTAGAGCTTCTTTAATATACATTTCACTAGATTGAATAACTACTCCTCCACCTTTGTCGGCTGATTTTATAACGATATCTTTATCTTCTTGAAGTTCTTTAATTGCCTTCCTCTCAGCGTTTGTTAGGTTATTTGCATCATATTTATTATATTTGATTTTTTCCAGATCTTTTTGGACAAATTTTTAAAATAAAATAAGAGGGGCAGATTTATAGTGTGATGGATAAAACTTTGATTTTTCTCTTAGGTGTGTATTGATAAAACCATGATCTTGTGGAGAGGGGGTGGGAGTTGGTGGTACATCTGTTTTATTATTAAAAAATCTTTTTAATGTAGCTTTTCTGACGAATTTATTTACGTCAAGAAAAGCCTGAAATGGATTAAAAGAGGAGGTGGGAGCGAATTTGAGACCTTTGCTAAGAACTGACACTTGAGCAGCAGATAAAACTTTTTGAGAAAGGTTAAAAATACCACTACAGGAGTTTTGGGGGGATATTATTGTCTTTCTAGTCTTTCCCTTTTGCTCCCGTCTTCCACTTCGTCTTCCTCTAAACTTAAAATTCGTTTTTGGGAGCGTGACGGATGTGGTGTCTGAACCAGTGCGGATGGATGAGTGCGTATTTCTAAAAAATGGTCCTCGTTATCAAAATCAGAGTCTATTGACAACAATTGATATCTGTTGGGGTGATTAGGAATAGGAGGTGATTTTGAATAATTTGAATATTCGTGGTAATTGTTAGTGTATCGTGATCTTTGAGGTTTGGGTGAAAGTTTAGGACCAGAAGAATAGTGATATTTGGGGGATTGTGTTACAGGATTATGAGCATAGTGAAAAGGTTTCTTTTGTTTGTATGAAGGGTGTTGATTGGTAGTTTGATATGGTATTTTTGAAACAGCATGATGGTATTGAGCTGGGATTTTAGTGGATCTCATCATAGATGGAGATTGGTAATAAGATTTGTGTGTGGCAAAATTGTGATATTTAGGAGGTGGTGGATTGTTATTGTAAGAGTGAGAATAGGCATATTGGTGATCATAGTGATTGGTCTTTGTGGAGTAATTATCAGAAGTGTACTTTTTTTTCAAATGGTAAGTTCTGACTTGTTTGTTAGAATAATCAGTTTTGTCTCTGATATATTTTTTAATTTTCAAATGTTTTGTGTCTACTTCAACTTTTTCAATTTTATTCTGAATAATAATACAGTTTTGTTTGTAGGCCTTCGTATCTGTAAACGGTAGGAGTTTCTCTCTAAGCTTGTTTATTTCAATGTCTAAAATAGATAGTTTCTTGCTTTTTTTTACAATTAGGGTTTCCATCAAACCAAAAGTACATAATTCTAATTTATTGTTCCATTCTTCCATAAATTCAAGATCATCTTGGTCTGAGGTGGGTAATTTTAAAAGTCTTAAGCCACGGGGAGTGATTTGCTCATCTATATATTTCTTAAAGGTGGCGATTTCCCATTTTAGCTTAATTTCTGTAGCTAAAGCTTTTTCTAGTTGAATGAACAATTCTTGTTGGTTAGAATTGTAAGGTATTGATTGAATGGAGTTAATTACTTCTGTATTAAATACATTATTTACATCAATTGAGTATTTGTTCCTAAATTCAAAAATAGACATATTGGCTAAGTTTAAAAAGCAGCTATCTCAAGAGGGAATAAATAAGTGGTAAGGAGTATATGGGAAGGAGAGACAGCGCTAATTAATAAACAGGCAGCAACCTTAAAAAGGGAAACCCTCCAAGCCCTTTTAAAACAAAACAGTAAAAACAATAATAAAAGGCTGCGCCAATAAGAGAGTAAAATAGAGTGACTAAGAAAAAATGTCCAACGTAATAAATAAAAATAAAAATAAAAATAGAAATAAAAGTTCAACTTAAGTGTCCTTGCGGATAGTCTTTATAGTAAGTATTGCAGCAGTGAAGTCTTCATAAGCTGTATAGGTTCCACTCATATAAAAGACAAAAGGGGAGAGAGAAGGACGACCAGTAGTGCAATATTGTATAATTCCAAAAGTGACGTATGGAGGAGTAGTTATTCAATCTAGTGAAATGTATATTAAAGAAGCTCTAAGACAACTAGATGATAAAAATGTATACGAAAAACTCCCATCTGATCCTACAAATAATATCCAAATTACACTATCTACTTTTTTAAATAAAGGGTCTAATCTAAACATTTTAAACAAACAAGAATTTAATTTTTTAAACAAAGAATTTCCTATTACTCCTGTTATTTATTTCCTTCCCAAAATCCATAAAGATGAAAAGCAACCCCCAGGAAGACCTATTGTCTCAGGAATAGGGTCTCTTTTATGTAACCTTTCTCAATAGATCGATACCCTTCTCCAGCCTTCAGTAAAATTAATGAAATCTTACTTGAAAGACTCAATGTCACTTTTAAATTTTTTAAATAAATTTAGCTGGAAACCCAATTTTATATTAGTTACCTGTGACGTTCAGTCACTTTACACAATCATCCCGCATGATATTGGATGTCAGGCCATAAAAAGGACCCTTACTCTAGAAGACAATATTCCTTCCATCCAGATCGATTTTATAATAGAAGGTATTAATATAATTTTAAAAAATAATTACTTCTGGTTTTTAGATTCATTTTATCTTCAAAAGAGGGGCACCGCTATGGGTACTAGGTTTGCCCCAAGCTACGCTAATCTGTTCATGGCAGACTGGGAATCCGAAGCTATCTGGGGCAACCATGCTTGGCGGGCAAACCTGGTCTCATATTTTAGATACATAGATGATCTTTTTTTTATTTGGGAAGGACCAGAAGAAGACCTAATTGTTTTTATAAATTATCTTAATACTAATGATAGGGGCATTATTTTAACACATGAATATAGCAAAGAATCTATTAATTTTTTGGACCTTAATATTTTTATTAAAGAAGGCCAACTCCACACAAAAACTTTTTTTAAAAAGGTGTGTGTTAATACAGCCATCGACAAAACTAGTTGTCACTACAAGCCTTGGCTTGAGAGTGCTCCAAAGAGCCAGTTCCTACGTCTTCGTAGGAACTGTTCAGAAATAACAGATTTTAATGAACAAGCTAATATCCTAAAAAATAAATTTATGGAAAAAAGATATTTAGAATCAGAGCTTAATAACACAATTAATACAGTTAAACAAAAAGAACGAAAAGATCTTCTGATTTATAAGAATAAAGAAAAGGATGAATCTATATCTCTTCCTATTATTTTTAACTTCAATAGCAAAAGTAATAATGTCAAAAAAAATTATAAAAAAACATTGGCATATACTTAAAGAAGACGATATTTTAAACTCAATTTTACCCAACCAGCCAAATATCGTGTTTAGAGGGGCACCAAATTTTAAATCCATTTTAACCACCAATTTTACTCGAGAATCGCCAGTTAGGGGTTTCTCCTTCTTCCCACAAACAAAAGGCTTTTATAAATGCAAACAATGTATAGTGTGTAGAACCACGGATCCATCTACCCCATCTAAAATTACTCAGTTTATGTCCAATAAGACTAAAAAAAATGTATAATATTTATGATTTTATCGGCTGCAACACTAAAAATGTTATTTATTTGCTCGAATGCCCATGTGGTCTCCAATATGTGGGGATGACCACAAGGTGCTTAAAAATAAGATTGAGCAAACATTGTAGGAATATCAAAAATGGATACTTAAATCATACAGTATCCAAACATTTTATTATGCATAACAAAGATCCTAAACTTCTAAAATGTATTGGTATAAAAAAATGTTCTACCCCCTGGCGAGGAGGAGACATAAAAAAACTACTTGGGAAAATAGAAATGGAATGGGTGTATAACCTTAAGACCCTTATACCCCATGGCCTCAATGCAGACTTTGACCTATATAATTTTTTGTAATACAAAAGTATTTTACATGTCTGTTTTACACCTATGCCTTTTACTTTGCTCAACTGTATTTTTTATTTATTATTTTCTGTATTTAAAATATTGTTTTATTATTTCTTAATTTATTTTATTTATATTTTATATATATGTGCCCCTTTAGTATATGGCCCCATTAATTATATGTCCCTTTTATTTTGCCTCTCTTTTTTGATATATAGCTCCCTTTTTGGGAACTTTTGTCTTCATGTCCCTTTAATTTGAACGAGCTTATCTTCAGCCGACTACATTTCCCATTAAGCATAGCGGCATTTTGTCCGAATACTGGAAGTGCCGCAAGTCACGTGCTTAATTTCGTTTGCTTAATTTATGCTTCCAATACTTTTATTTTTACTAGCAGAGTGTCTAATGCATTTCAGATTTTGCCCTCTATGTGGGCTTTCGTTTCTATGTCCCCCAATATTTGGCAGCGCCTATATTATACTCCTAGCCGCCATTCGCGGCTTATTGACTACATTTCCCATAAAGCATAGCGGCATATAGTCCGAAAACCGGAAGTGCCGCGCGTCACGTGCGCATTTTTAATCACTTAATTTATGCTTTTAAAAACTTCGTTTTGTTTATTAAAGTCAATTATGAGTGTTCTTAGACCCTATATTTTGGTTTTATTGCTGTATTTTAAAGTTTTTATACTGCCAAATGTAACTTAAGTTTGATTGGATGGACCATTTTTGGCACCAAATTTAAACTCCTATATAATACAACTAGCCAGGTAATGTTTGCTATTCCATTTGATAAAGTCTGTTGACGAAACGCGTTATGGATATTTTATATTGTGTATTGTAATATTAAAGCAATTTTTGGTAATTTGTGCCAACTATTCTTTTTTATAGTTTTATATACACATTACTCTTTTTATACCTGGCTTTTTAGTATATTTTAGTATATTTTTAGCATTTTACTATTATATACCAATACTGACTTCGGAAGTCTTCTGCACTCCAAGAAATCCTAAAGGTGGGGATTAATCCACCTATGCTGATACACAAGAGCAGTTGGTCTGCTCCTCATTTGTAAGTACGTTTTCATCTACTTATAATAAGACTACTAAAATAGTGAGCACTATTGGTTGTCTCTCTCTTTCCTTGTTTGAGAATTGGACACCACTGACGGAGAGTAACCCACAGCATATCCCAAAAGCGGGGATTATACCGCTGTATGCGCTTCTATCCTAGAGCTGGACATAAGCTCTATTAAATGTGAGTTCTTTAATATTATTTTTCCATACGTCACTTTTGGAATTATACAATATTGCACTACTGGTCGTCCTTCTCTCTCCCCTTTTGTCTTTTATATGAGTGGAACCTATACAGCTTATGAAGACTTCACTGCTGCAATACTTACTATAAAGACTATCCGCAAGGACACTTAAGTTGAACTTTTATTTCTATTTTTATTTTTATTTATTACGTTGGACATTTTTTCTTAGTCACTCTATTTTACTCTCTTATTGGCGCAGCCTTTTATTATTGTTTTTACTGTTTTGTTTTAAAAGGGCTTGGAGGGTTTCCCCTTTTTAAGGTTGCTGCCTGTTTATTAATTAGCGCTGTCTCTCCTTCCCATATACTCCTTACCACAGAAATGGGCTAGCCCAGACCTACCTAGCATGGCATTAGTACACGCCAAAATCAAAGATAACTATATCATGGATAAGCTGACGGCCCAGGTCAGAAATACCACCCCTAACTTCACTAAAGTCTGGGAGCAATATGAGGAGTCCACATCAGACACATAACGAAAAGGAGTATACCCACTAGTTATCGCTGAGCCTATTAGAATATTTTTATTTTTGTATTTGTTGTTAAATATCTTATTTTCTAAGCATTTTGGCAATAATCACAAAATCTACTGTTTATATAAATGTTACGAAAAACTGACAGAAACATACTGCAGACCATCTGATTAACATTGTACAGCACGCCTCACCGAAAGTCTGATTCATTATACTATGACTACTGCACGATTGGTTGACGGCTTCTGCGTAAGCCATGACATATGCAACTGCTTTATAAATCTGTCAATGCAAAAATAAAGTCGTAAAAAAAACAAAACAAAAAAACATCTCTTCAGGAAAGCTTATGGCCTCCCAGAGTAACTGCTACTTCACATACCTGTCTCTTGCTCTCTCATAAATCGCAGCGCTCTACTCGCTCTCTCTTTCAGCTCTGCCTCACTCCCACCTTGCTTGACTGCCATTTCCGGTCCTATTGTGCTTTATACCCCACCCCTATAGTCTGTAAGCTCCTTTGAGCAGGGTCGTCTTCATCCTATTGTTCCTGTACGTTTTAGCAATTGTCTCATTTAGTTCTCCCCCTCCTATAATATTGTAAGGAACTATGGAATTTGTTGGCGCTATACAAGTGCCAATAATAATGAAGAGTAGGTCGCTGTGCACAGCAAAACTGAATTTAATGTATATATTCCACCAGGACATTTTCACTAGGGGAGTCTAAGACACTACAGGATAATATATTGGAACTACAGGATAATAGTTCAATGACTGGCTTGAGAAAGCTTTTGCGAGATTAAAAATTTGACTATATGATGCAAAATAAATAAATGAAGTATGGTTTCTCACAATACTTATAAATGAATTGACAAGGAGATGGAACAATGAACTCTGACAGTGCAAATGGCAATTTCAGAAGATGTAGGAGAATGACCACACTGCAGGATATTTCGATGAAATATGCCAAATGATCTCCTTTGCTTGTACTGTCTGTTAGCAAAGCAAATATTCATGGAAAATAGCCACGTACTACAATAGGATGTGAATTCAACTGAAACTTCCTACTTAAATGGACACTCCAGGCACCCAGACCACTTCTGCCCATTGGAGTGGTCTGGGTGCCAACTCCCACTACCCGTAACCCTGCAACTGTAATTATTGCAGTTTTTATAAACTGCAATAATTACCCTGCAGGGTTAACTCCTCCTCTAGTGGCTATTAGACAGCCACTAGAGGGCACTTCCCGATTCATAGCACATGTTCTGTGCTATGGGGTCGCTGGACATCCTCACGCTGTGTGAGGACATCCAGCGTCGCTAAAATCCCCATAAGAAAGCAATTTCAATGCTTTCCTATGGAGAGGTCTAATACGCGTAATTTTCGCGCATGCACATTAGGTCTCCCCCGTCGGTGGGCGGGATCTGTCTCCCCCGCCGGATGACGTGGGGAGGGGAGGAGCGTGGGTGGACCAACAAGCAGTGGCGAGGGACATCGTCACTGCCTCTGGTAAGTCACTGAAGGGGTTTTCACCCCTTCAGCAACCGGGGAAGGGAGGGGACCTGCAGTGCCAGGAAAACAATTTGTTTTCCTGCCACTGGAGTGTCCCTTTAATGAATTAAGGAGTTAGAAGTCAATTGATAGAAATTCAAAAAAAAAATTTTAACCCAAGTTTAGCATGTCACTGAAAAAAACAATACAAGCAGAACATATTACTACTTTGTATTACGGACAAGGGGTTTTCGGTAGAATGTGGCAATGGGCAGGTGTTCAAGAAGCTTCTGCCACCTTCACTTCCCATTGGGTGTTGGTATCTGATGGGAACAGGCTTCTCTTCCAGAATAAGGCATAGTAGATGTCTGTTTCACTAATTTTTTATTATTATTGGCATTATATAGTGCCAACAAATTCCTTACAATATTACTGGAGTGGGAGATTTAACAATAAATGAAAATTATAAAAACTTACAGGGACAATATGATGAAGAGGACCCTGCTTAAACAAGCTTACAGTCTAGATGTTCGCAACAATTGACCCCCTACACATATTTCAAAAGGTGTACATGCGCAAGTGTACACTAGAGAGTTGACATCAGTAGGGATGTGGAAATTATATTGCCCTATGCCAGGGACATCCAGTTTTGGGCACTGGGTAGGCAGTGTCCCACCCCACACTCTTTAAGGGCTGCCCTGAGAAAGACTGGTGCTGGGGGTAGATAGTATTAGGTCTGCACCTCCGGTGGGTGCAGACTTCCGTAATCACTTATTTGTGGACCATCGCGGTCTAGTGAGTCAGAGCGCAGCTGCCAGATATTCCAGCATGCTCTGACATACTCCCAGCACTCTGACTCACTGTGTGCTGGGACCATTACTGAGCTTTGCATCAGCTGGAGGTGCAGACCTCACAGTACTCAACTAGACCACTGAGATCCATGAATATCTCTACATCACCTGGCAAAGTTTTAATTACCACAACATATCCTTAAAGCACTTCAGCTTGCTGAACAACAGGTTTCTTCCTGCTTCGATTAACTCCCCTGAGCCACAGTGATTTCATTTTTTTCCCCTTACATAGCACCACACAGATTACACACAATCAGCACGCAGCTTATACACTATGACAAAGAGGTATTCTATGAGGGGGGACTAGTGTGGTGGGAGTAGCAGGTGAAACACCTATGGCAGGATTTGACAAATTCCAGGCGCCAGGACAACAAAGAATTCTGACCTGGCACCTGGGATTTGTGAGCCTATTCCCTCCGAGGCGGCCGACAGGAAGAAGGCGAGGGAGCTGTAATATTCTCACTCTGACAGGATACCAGGAGAGGAAATATGATGTCAAATAATTCATGAGTGTGTATGTCTGGGTGTGTCTGCTTAGGTTAGTGACCAGCTTCCGATCACATGGAAAAGGAGTTTTAACTCGCCCTTTTTTCCCCCCCATCAATGCCATGCTGATCTTGCCTCCATGGCTGAGATAATACGTCTTGATCTCAGCCAACCCAATGTTTTCCCAGAGGAAAGCACTAGGAGGCTATTGTGCATGCGCGGCAAACTCTCTGCCAGTCAGCATCTCTATGGGGAACATGCATCGCTTCCGTGAAGATGCTGAATGTAAATGCTGCATATTGTGCATCACTGGACTAAGGAGCACCTTTAATAGCAATCTAAGTGACTGCCACTAGAGGTGTTACTACACAGCAATGTAAACATCGCATTATCTCTGAAAATGCATTGCTTACATTGAAATGCCCGCATGGAAGACTATAGACAACAGAACCATTACATTAAGAGGCAGTTCTGGTGGCTGTAGTGTCCCTGTAAGAATTGTATTTTGCCGATTAAAACAAAGTTTTGATTTAAAAATAAAAAAAAACCTGGATGGGCTCTGCTTATGAAAACGTGAAGCAATCATGATCGTTGCATACACAATGGCAAGGATTTCAGCTACATACACTTTTCCGTATCTGTGCCAGTGTGTCTAGATGTTGTAAAGATCCTCTAAAAAAATTTTTTTTCTAGAATCCCTTTTAAAGACTTACTTTTTTTTTTTTTTAAATGGATCTCTCTCTTGAAAGGATGTGTAGGGGGGCTGTATGGATTGCATTTAGTAGAGGTAAAGCAATGTGAGCAAATTCAGCAGTGAGAGAGCAAGGGGTATGATCTATACACCAAAACTGCTTCAAGAAAAACTCAGGCCTGGCCAATCAGCATCTCCTCATAGATCCATTGCATCTATTCATGTCTATGAGGAAAACTCAGTGTCTGCATGCGGAGGGTGGTAGACCCTGAATGGCAGTACTGCACAGTGTGCAGCACTGCCCAAGGAAGCACCTCTAGTAGCCATCTGAGATGTGGCCAGTGGAGTCATCCCTAAACTAATGTAAACACTGCATTTTCACTGAAAAGAGAACAACGTTTACTGCAAAAAGCCTGAAGAGAATGATTCTACTCACCTGAACAAATACAATAAGACGATGTAGTTCTGGTGACTACAGTGCCCCTTTAAGCTGGTTATTTTGCTGGTTTGAAAATCCCTTTAAAAAATTACCAAGTTTTATTAAGGGCCCTTATCCTCAGTACTTTACATGAATTAACAAATTGTAAAATGGCTGAAAACAGATACTGTGAGTTACAATACAGTCAGGTATAATACTTAAAAAAACAAAAAACAAAGTTCAATTGAACTATAGTATATATTTTCAAACGAGATGAAGTTAACCCCCCTTAAGGACACATGACATGTGTGACATGGCATGATTCTCTTTTATTTCAGAAGTTTGGTCCTTAAGGGGTTAAACCTGGAGGGAGGTAGAGGAATTAGGATGAAATCATATCAAGTGAATTTAGGGAATCCAATAAAAAAAAAAAATAAAAAAAAAAATCAGTTATAGACTGACAACTAATGAACTAAAAACCCACAAACTTTAAAAATAAATAAAATAAACCAACCAACCCCTGGCTGCTCTTTCTGTGGCTCTCTGCGGATATTTAGTAATGGAATCCCAGGCCAGCCATGTGCCAGGTCAAAGACTCCCCTAACACCGTGAAGGATTTCCTAAACCAGCTCCCATGGCAGGACATTGGGTTTGTTTTTCCATACATACACGTGGTTACGGCATGATCCCTAACGCTCGCCGTCCAGGTGTACCGCCTGGCGATAGAGGTTAGTAAATAAGGCGATGTTGGCGGTAAATGTGTTTACAGACCTGCATTAACATTGCACATGCCATGGACACACAGAGCCCAGCATGAAGCAGTCAGACCGCCATATATATCCCCCTCCCTCTATAATACACACACTTACACGGAGAAAGGAGGATTAGTGACATGTATAAACCCACCTCACACTCTCCAGCAGCTAATACTAGCGAACTTCCGCTTCCGGGCGCTCGGTTATTGACGTCACGTCCGGCTACCGTTTCCATGGCTACGGGGGAAAGCATGGCTGAATGGGAACCACGTGTTCACATAGAGCTGTGTTGTTGTTGTTTTGTTTTTTTTCCTCCCTGTGTTGCTGCACTGCACTCACTGTCCAGCTCCATTGTCTGTTAACACAAAATAAAGAGAGTTTATAGCCTGACAGTATTATCTCACAATGCCATTATTATATAGGGTACAGTGAGTGGTGGGAGTTAAATAAGGTGCCAGGTCCACATGGTTTGACTGGGCATCCAGCATCTGAAAAAAGATTTGTTAAAGTTCGGTTTTTGCTGTTGATCCAAAATAAAGCAAAAAAAATTATAAAAAAAACAGGTCTGAACCACTTCCAATTTTGCAACAAACTAGGGGAAAAAAATAATTCTTGACCCCAGAATTACAGTCCGCTCTCTCTCCTTGGATCTGGAAGCTGTTACCTCATTAACGGGACACTATAGTCACTAATAAGAAAGGAAAACACATACAAGAATTCCAAAAAGTAAAAGAATGTCTAACAGCATTCACTTTAAGGATCTTGTATATTATCAGCAACCCTAATTAATCATCTCAGAAAAATAGTAAGATATAACTTTAAAACAACTGTGAGAGTAGACTAATATTAAAAAACATAAGAGGTACAAGTAATGATTCTCAGAGTATGCCCCAACTCCCATCACCCTTGCCCACACGGTCAGCACACTCTCATTCCCCTCTGTAATTCAACAGGAGCCGATCAATCTACCCGGCTACCTGAAATAAATCTAAAGGCTGCAGCTAAGTCCCCTGTCAACCTCCTCCACCCTTATGCTATCAAAAGTCCCGACGTGCGTTTCGCCGACTAGCGGCTCTTCCAAGGAGGACACTATAGTCACCCAGACCACTTCAGGTCCCCCAGGTTTTAACCCTTCAGATGTAAAATAGCAGTTTCACAGTGTAGCGTTACTCACCTTATCCAGGGGCCGGCAGCGGTCCTCTCTTCGAGCCGCGCGCGGTCCTGCTGCTGCACGAGCCGCGCGCGGCTCATCCGCGAGAAGCGGTCACGTGTCCCGCCTGAATCTAAGAGCGCGCCGCGAGTCTCGGGCGCGCTCTTAAAGAGACAGTGGGAGCCTAAATTGTTAAAAGGCTCCCATTGGCCCCTGTCATGCCACACTCCCCATACACTTACCTTTTGGGGGTGTGGATATGACAGGAGCCAATCACATTAGTTTAGAAGCTATTTAAACTTACCTTTTACTCCCTGCCCTATCGTGGTTTCTGTTTCAGTTCCCTTTAGCGCTTGTTGTGTTCAGTTGTGTTTTCTCCGTATTGACTTTGGCTTTGTTTCTGACTACGTTTTCTCTTTATCCTTATCTGTTCTGGTTGTCGACTTGCTGTTTACTGTGTACCAGACCCCGGCTTGTCCTAGTTTACGCTGTCTCTCTGTGCCCTTGACTTCGGATCGTTCCTGACTCTGCCTCCTCTCATATACGTCGAGTCCGGCCATTCTAAGGTCCGGTAGACGTATCTCTCCTCTGTGTTGTCTTCTGTTTAGCTGAATCCTGCGTGTTGGGGTATATTCTCGTTACACACAGAAACTGCTATGTTTACATTGCAGGGTTAATCAAGTCTCTAGTGGCTGTCTTCCTAAGGCACTTCTGCGACGCTGGATTCGAAAATCGCATTGAGCACGCAGAACGTCCATAGGAAAGCATTGAGAAATGTTTTCCTATGGACTGTTTGAATGCACACGTCGCTCTTGCCGCGCATGCGCATTCCGCTCCACTTGCGAGCTGACTTCGGCGGGGGAGGAGAGGTCACCAGCGCCGAGGGAGCCCAGTGCTGGATTAAAGTAAGTAACTAAACGCTGTTTAACCCCTTCAGCGCCAAGGGAGGGGGATCCTGAGGGTGGAGGGGATCTAAGGGTTATATAGTGTAAGGAAAATGAGTTTGTTTTCCTGACACTACAGTGATCCTTCAATTAAAAATTATATCCATATTTTAGCTTGTCACCATCTAGCTGACCAAGAGAATTTTTCCAGATCACCTATTTTAATCTTAAGTTTGAAACTTATTTTGAATTTGCCTTGAATTGATCTTTAGTGAATAAACGTGACAGTGTAGTTCTACTCAAGGTAGGCATTGTATAATGCACTAGGAATGCCTTTTATTTATTTGAGGGACAGTTATGAATTCTTCATAGGGAGGGGGTTTGCGCCTTTATTAGTTTTTGTGTAATGTCCTGTGTTTGCAATTGGTACCACTGCAACAATAACAAAAGTCAATGTGCAAGTTTCATCACTTCCAGAGCAAGCGCTACAACACATCTGATGCTATTCAGTTGTTTAATTGTTGCAGAGCTTCATTGTCTGCAGCTAAGTACTTTTCAGCTTTTTAGATATTCTTGTTGTTTATCTCATCCCTGTTTCCAAATCCCCATTCATTGAAACCTGTTACCTTTGCCTATACTGATATAGCTGCCTTCACTGACCTTGTAAATTGCCACAGCAGCCCTATCATGGATTTAATTTTTTTTTTTTTTATTCCTTATGCTCAATGTATTTAAATGATTATACTCTCCCCTTGACATGTGCCTTTATTTTATATTGTTTTTCTTACTTGTACCACTGGTCTATCAAATTCGCCTACACTGTAATAATTCACTAAGCGACCGCACCAGAAGTGAGGCCAAATCAGCTGAAGATCTGCTACCCCGTGTCCAGGTTAGTGGTGGCATGTGCGTGTGCAGGATCAGTTAGGGTGCAGAAACGTTGTGTGTGTGCATGCGCCGGCAGGGGTGTTTATGCATATGACATAATAACTGTGCATGCGCACTCTCAAGTAGGGTTTTCTAACTCTGCCACTGTGCATGTGGGAGAAATTAGCTGATCCAGCGCATGTGTAGTTGCACCATCAAAATACCATAACCTGCGCATGACAGTTGTAGCCTCTACTACCAGGCTGTGTCTACTATAAATCAAACCACAAGGCACAGACGTAGTGGATAGAAAAGGCCACAGCCATTTGTATTTATTAAAACAATCATTGCCTCCAATTAACATTAAATATATATTGAACCTTATAACAACATTAGGCAATGACAATGTGTTTTAACACAGGGTTAACATAACCCTAAATAACTTCCAGACTGTAATTAGCATAATTATCAATTAACCATTTAACCTTTTCAGCACCAGCTTACTCTCAGGGATCCCCATGTTGGAACCAATCCACCGCTGGGACAGAACCGTCTGCTTAGCCCCCATTTAGGCTGAGAGCCCCTATTCCGGCTCAAAACCTCTCACCAAGCCTCCATTAGGCTTTAACCACATCCTCATTGTGAGGCCATAGACCATCCCAGGAGCAAGCTACCACCAAGGCTGCGACAACGATCTCCTTTGGCGTTGCCGATCCAACCACTGGAACAGAACCATCTGTCCAGCCCCCATTTTGGTTAAGAGCCCCTCTTCTGGCTCAAAACCTCTCACCAAGCCTCCATTAGGCTATCACCAAATCCTCATTGTGAGGCCATAGACCATCCCAGGAGCAAGCCACCACCAATGCTGCAACAACAATCTTCTCCAGAACTGCTGTTTTTGTGACCCGCTGTCTCTGAAAGAAAAGGAAAAACTGTCAGAACGTGGAATTATCACCCCAACACACACTAGGGAGAAGGGGACAACAACAGGAGGGGACTGCTACAAAACTAAAATGGCTTAAGTGTAATTGTTACACCAGCCTATACATGCTACCTATGCCCCTCACACGTTCTATATCCACCGATCTATACAGCTTTGCTCAGCACAACTGTCAAGGCCTTCTTCCGCCTGTTTATCTCCATGGGCCTGCAATAATCTCATTCACATGGTTGAGGTCTCTAGGGCTGCAACCATGATTTACTCATGGAATGTGGAGGCAGTCAAGGAGGCAATGTAAATGTAGGGAATTTTTTATTCTAATTTAATTGGGCGAAATGTCAAAAGTCCCGCTGCCAACTCAGGCCCTGATTGAAGCAAAAACTTGTCTCCTACTGAACATGGAATTACTTATGGCAGCTGATTATGACCCTTCTTGGGGTTATAGCGGATAGTATAAGTGCCATGAGGCATGGGGATAGAGAGTGTATGACCATAGTGGTGTATCTCCTAGTTAGGCTTTCCTTGACTCTGCTTTCTTGACCATATTTAAATGTTTTTTCTCTCTCTTTATTGCTATTTCCCACCTTCTTATTTCGGCATTTTCTGTAATGTTTTCCACAGGTGTTGACCTTGTCCTTGGATTCTCAATAAATAACCGCTGCACAGACAATGTCCCACAAAATATTTATGTCTGTGCTTATTATTGTTATGAACTGATGTACATGAGGACTAAAAATGTAAAGTACAAAAATAAATGCATTTTTTAAATTTGCATACTACTTATTAAGTGCAGGAAAAAGCAGGGAGTAAAGTTAGTCACAATGAGGGTGGGAACGTTATCAAAGTGTCCTGTTCTGAAAAGAGGTGCAAAGTACAAAAAGTCACCTTACAAAAAGTCACTTTGGAAACAAATGGAACCAACAGGTCCATTCTACTGGTGAATAGTGATGTCCCGAACTGTTCGCCGAACGGTTCGCCACAGACTCATCATTGAGTAAACTTTGACCCTGTACCTCACAGTCAGCAGACACATTCCAGCCAATCAGCAGCAGACCCTCCCTCCCAGACCTCCCCACCTCCTGGACAGCTCACTAAGAATGCAGCTTCACAATGGATGCTGTCCAGGAGGTGGGAGGGTCTGGGAGGGAGTGTCTGCTGCTGATTGGCTGGAATGTGTCTGCTGACTGTGAGGTACAGGGTCAAAGTTTTAGTCAATGATGAGTCCGCGGCGAACCGTTCGGCGAACAGTTCGGGACATCACTACTGGTGAACCCTCCATTTTTACATTTTGCATCCTTTTTTAGAACAGAACATGTAAATAAATCTCCCGCAATGTTCTTTTAATGCTTGAAGTA